ATGATTTTGTCAATTGTGTTGTTGTTGAGTAATTTTCCCAACGTGTGCGGTGAAAATACATAGCTGAGCTAGCTGCCTCGCGAGGCGGTTAGCTCAGCAAGTTGCTCTCGTGTGCGGCGGACTTTACAATTTATTGGAAGTAATATATGCGAATGCAGTCGCACAAGAAGTTGAAAGACTTTGTGTGGAATCCTGTAATGGTTGTCAAGTCGGTCATCTTAGTCAAGGGCAACATGACTGCCTCGTGATGAACGAAAACGAACGATGGGAAATTAGAGATTGGTATGAGTATGGTTTACAAGCGATCGAACGAGCGAATGCTAAGCGTATGGTTTGGAGTGAATTCGAGGCAATGAGTGTACTTAAACTTAGGGTTGACAGAGTACTCGAACATTTACAGCAACTGGAAAAAGATCCAGATTCTACGTTTGTCGATTCATTAATGGAACTACAACAAAACATTGAGAACCACGAACTACAATGTATGCTGAACTATTCGTTTCATCAGTGGAGATTAGAAGACCCGCCCGAGTCAGTAGCTGAAACGTTTTTCTCTTGGCCACCTAGTTACATGTATTCTGTGAAGGCAACGAGTGAACGATTTAGAAGTTCTGAGGCAGATCATAAGAAAGCTTATCAAGAACTCTTGGTGAAAAAACTTTTAGAACAGTTGCAATTGTAATATGTCGTTATCTACGTTGCTATGTGTTGCCAATCATTAATTAGCGACGCTTGGGTGCATGCATATATTAATGTACAACATATTTGTACACTAATCAGGCGGGTGGGTTAGGCAAATCGCACGGGCGGAAAAGAGCGGGCTTTGCAGGCAAAAGTTTGCACAAGATTTCAGTTTTAAAATACATTTATTTCTTCAAAACGTTTACAGAATTTAGTACGGTCTACTTCTAAGAGTGTAACGTTTAGGTGTTTTTGTTATCTTTAAAGAGTTCTCATACTTTTGTCTATCTTCAGGTGATATCCTAAGATTTTGATATGCTAAGATATTGATATCCTAAGATACTGCATGATATCCTATTGTATGATATCCTAAAATACTGTATGATAGCCTAAGATATTGTATGATGTCCTAAGATGTTGTATGATATCCTAAGATATTGTATGATATCCTAAGACATTGATATCCTAAGATATTGATATCCTAAGATATTGACATACTAAGATACTGCATGATATCCTATTGTATGATATCCTAAGATACTGCATGATATCCTATTGTATAATATCCTATTGTATGACGAACGCCTAACTGTAACTGATAATAATTTGGTATATTCGTTCTATATATTAATTTATGCATCTATCCAGTAATCTTCCAAATCTTCTTCCTTATCCTTATCTTTATCTTCTTATCTGATATCCTAAGATACTGCATGATATCCTATTGTATAATATCCTATTGTATGACGAACGCCTAACTGTAACTGATAATAATTTGGTATATTCGTTCTATATATTAATTTATGCATCTATCCAGTAATCTTCCAAATCTTCTTCCTTATCCTTATCTTTATCTTCTTATCTTCCTTATCTTTATCTTCTTATCTTCTTTATCTTCTTATCTTCTTTATCTTATCTTCCTTATCGTTATCGTCCTTATCTTCCCTTATCCTTATCTTTATCTTCATATCTTTCTTATCCTTATCTTTATCTTCCTTATCTTTATCTTCTTCTCTTCCTTATCTTTATCTTCTTATCTTCCCTATCTTTATCTTCTTGTCTTCCTTATCTTTATATTCTTATCTTCCCTGTCGTTATCGTCCTTATCTTCCCTTATCCTTATCTTTATCTTCATATCTTTCTTATCCTTATCTTTATCTTCCTTATCTTTATCTTCTTCTCTTCCTTATCTTTATCTTCTTATCTTCCCTATCTTTATCTTCTTGTCTTCCTTATCTTTATATTCTTATCTTCCCTGTCGTTATCTTCCTTATCTTCTTCCTTATCCTTATCTTTATCTTCTTCTCTTCATTATCCTTATCTTTATCTTCTTCTCTTCCTTATCTTTATCTTTCTTATCTTTATTTTCTTCTCTTCCTCATCTTTCTCTTCCCTATCTTTATCTTCCTTATCTTTATCTTCTTATCTTCCTTATCTTTATCTTCTTATCTTCCTTATCGTTATCTTCCTTATCTTCTTCCTTATCCTTATCTTTATCTTCTTCTCTTCCGTATCTTTATCTTTCTTATCTTTATTTTCTTCTCTTCCTCATCTTTCTCTTCCCTATCTTTATCTTCCTTATCTTTATCTTCTTATCTTCCTTTTCCTTATCTTCCTTATCTTCCTTATCTTTATCTTCTTATCTTCTTTATCGTTATTTTCCTTATCTTCTTCCTTATCCTTATCTTTATTTTCTTCTCTTCCTCATCTTTCTCTTCCCTATCTTTATCTTCCTTATCTTTATCTTCTTATCTTCCTTTTCCTTATCTTCCTTATCTTCCTTATCTTTATCTTCTTATCTTCTTTATCGTTATTTTCCTTATCTTCTTCCTTATCCTTATCTTTATCTTCCTATCTTCCTTATCTTTATCTTCTTCTCTTCTCTTATTTTCCTTATCTTCTTCCTGAATCGTTGAATCCTAAGATTGAATCATTGAATCCTAGATTGAATCATTGAATCCTAAGATTGAATCATTAGCCTAACTTGGAGCGCAGCGTAGCTTGGAGCCGAGTATAAATCGCAATGAGTTAAGCTCGATATTTCGAGACTATTTAGACTGGGCTCCGATCGAGCTATGCTACGAAGATAAAGATAAGGAAGATAAAGATAAGGAAGATAAGAAGATAAAGATAAGGATAAGGAAGAAAATAAGGAAGATAACGATAAGGAAGAGAAGAAGATAAAGATAAGGAAGATAAGCATAAGGAAGATAAGAAGATAAAGATAAGGAAGATAAAGATAAGGAAGAAAAGAAAAGAAGATAAGGAAGATAAAGATAAGGAAGAGAAGAAGATAAAGATAAGGATAAGGAAGAAGATAAGGAAGAGAAGAAGATAAAGATAAGGATATGGAAGAAGATAAGGAAGATAACGATAAGGAAGATAAGAAGATAAAGATAAGGAAGATAAGATAAGGAAGCTAAGAAGATAAAGATAAGGAAGATAAAGATGAGGAAGATAAGAAAAAGATAAGGAAGATAAAGATAAGGAAGCTAAGATAAGGAAGATAAAGATAAGGAAGCTAAGAAAATAAAGATAAGGAAGATAAAGATAAGGAAGCTAAGAAAATAAAGATAAGGAAGATAAAGATGAGGAAGATAAGAAGATAAGCAGATAAAGATAAGGAAGATAAAGATAAGGAAGCTAAGAAAATAAAGATAAGGAAGATAAAGATAAGGAAGCTAAGAAAATAAAGATAAGGAAGATAAAGATGAGGAAGATAAGAAGATAAAGATAATGAAGATAAAGATAAGGAAGAGAAGAAGATAAAGATAAGGAAGATAAAGATAAGGAAGCTAAGAAAATAAAGATAAGGAAGATAAAGATAAGGAAGCTAAGAAAATAAAGATAAGGAAGATAAAGATGAGGAAGATAAGAAGATAAAGATAATGAAGATAAAGATAAGGAAGAGAAGAAGATAAAGATAAGGAAGATAAAGATAAGGAAGATAAGAAGATAAAGATATGGAAGATAAGAAGATAATGATAAGGAAGAAAAAGAAGATAAAGATAAGGATAAGGAAGAAGATTTGGAAGAATACTGGACAGATGCATAAATTAATATATAGAAGGAATACACCCAATTATAATCAGTTACAGTTAGGCGTTCGTGGTGATAGGATATCATACAGTATTTCAGGATATCATACAATAGGATATAATGCAGTATTTTAGGATATCAATATCTTAGGATATCAATATCTTAGGATATCACCTGAAGATAGACAAGAGTATGAGAACTCTTTAAATTTAAAGATAACAAAAACACCTAAACATACAATAGGATATCATGCAGTATTTTAGGATATCAATATCTTAGGATATCAATATCTTAGGATATCACCTGAAGATAGACAAGAGTATGAGAACTCTTTAAATTTAAAGATAACAAAAACACCTAAACGTTACGCTCTTAGAAGTAGACCGTACAATAGGATATCATGCAGTATTTTAGGATATCAATATCTTAGGATATCAATATCTTAGGATATCACCTGAAGATAGACAAGAGTATGAGAACTCTTTAAATTTAAAGATAACAAAAACACCTAAACGTTACGCTCTTAGAAGTAGACCGTACTAAATTTTGTAAAACGTTTTGAAGAAATAAATGTATTTTAAAACTGAAATCTTGTGCAAACTTTTGCCTGCAAAGCCCGCTCTTTTCCGCCCGCGCGATTTGCCTAACCCACCCGCCTGATTAGTGTACAAATATGTTGTACATTGTATTTGCCATCACTTGTGTTACTTTTAAAAATTGTATTTCACAACAACAAAATCGAATCTTATGTAGCGGTGGCCGTTTTTCTCAGCACGTATATATATTTCTCCTTGTTAATACATATCACTACAAAGAATACACCCAAAAAAACCTATTTACATAAACTACAAAGTACATGATGCATGTCGGAAGTCACGCAATCTGAACCCAATTATGATACATTACCCCCCCCCCCTGTCAATTAATCTTCGTCCCGAAGATTCAAGGTGTATACCGTTCAGGTTCTCTTCTTACTCGTTCACCACGTCTTAGCGCAGTGTTTTCAGTTCGCTCTAATCGTCCATTATATTTCCATAGCCTATTTCTATGCACAATCTTTGGCTTCGCCTTCACTGTTAATCGGATCTTATAAACTAAGTAATTTATTCGCTTAATGATAACGTACGGTCCAGTCCAAGGTCTCGTCGGTTTGGGCAACAGTCCTTTCTTACACACGACCGAATATAACCACACTGATTCTCCAACTTCAAACCTCTTTGCCTTTGCATCTACATCATACTGCCGTTTCATTCGCATACTAAATGTCTTTTAAGACATACTTCTCTTCCAAATTCATGAGCTTGTTCAATATTCTCGGCTAACTTTGTTCCATATTTTGTAATTCCCTCGTTATAATATTCGGGTTCCGGTTTACCGAATACCAGATCAATCGGTAGTCGTATCTCATGTCCCATCATCAGTTTTGCCGGTGTGCACTTCGTCGACTCATGCACCGCGGTCCGGTATGCCATTAGTAAATACGGAATATATAGATCCCAATCTTTCTGATGCGTTTCGACAAACATGGAAAGTTGTGCTTCAAGGGTACGGTTATAGCGTTCAACCATTCCATCCGACTGTGGGTGATAGGGCGTCGTTTGAGTTTTCTTCACTCCCAGTAAAGTGCACATTTCGTTAAATACTTTTGAACAAAAGTTTCGTCCCTGATCAGAGTGGATTTGCAAAGGAACACCAAATCTACACACGAACTGTTCAACCAACACCTTCGCAATTGTTTCTGCTTCTTGGTTCGCAATCGGATATACCTCTGGCCATTTTGTAAAATAATCCATGCACATTAATAAAGCTTGTTACCATTGTCCGTTTTTGGTAGCGATCCTAGCACATGTATAGCGATCCGTTCCATAGGTGATCCAACCTGATATATTTGGAGTGGAGCTTCTCTCTCCGTTTTGGGCCTTTGCGAGAATTACATAAGTCACATTGTTTACACCATGTTTTAACGTCATTTCGACAACCAATCCAATAAAATCCTTGCTTCACTTTCGCTAAAGTCTTGCTAATTCCAAAATGTCCCGAGGTAACACAATCGTGTGACTGTCGCAATACAGTATCTCTTAAACTTTTGGGAACAACTAGTTGAAGTGCGACATCCTTAGCATTTAATGTTTCCCAAACTCTATATAATATGTTTTCGCGTAACGTTAAACTATCCCATTGAGCCCAAAGGACTTTTGTTTCCTCACTTTCTGTCGAGATATTTCCCCATTCAGGTCGCTGCGAACTTTGTGCGAGCCACCTCATTATTGGACCAATATGTGGGTCTTGCAATTGTTTGTTTCGAAGTTCTTCCTTACTGATTATCTTGATCAGTTCATTTTCAGTTTCTATTATACGGGCAATTAGGTTTGTAGCAGTTGATGATCCAGTAAAGGTCACCTTGTCTCCATCTGCTTCAAACTTCTCCTTATTTTCCTTGAAAATGTTTTCACGTGTTTCAACACGATCGCAATGCTTGCAATTATGATTAACACAAGGGCGTCTCGACATTGCATCTGCATTCTGATGTCCCTTTCCTGGACAAAATTCAATCCTGAAATCATATTCCTCTAAGATTTCCTCTAAGATTACCACTTGACCTTCCAGGTGACGAAAACGCAAAAGCCATTGGAGAGCTGAATGGTCAGTTCTAATCTGGAAATGTTGCCCATACAAATAACAATGCAAATGAGACACTGCCTGTACTACGGCTAGTAGTTCCCTTCGTGTGACGCAGTACTGGCGTTCAGTTTCACTGAGTACTTTGCTATAATACGCGATTACTTTTTCATCTCCATTTTCACTCTTTTGACTTAGGACTGCTCCTACGGATTCCCCGCTCGCGTCTGTATCAAGAATAAGCTCTGCGCCTTCTCTAGGAAAAACTAAAATAGGAACACTACACAAGACTTCTTTGAGCTTCTTAAAGGCTCTATCCGACTCGTTTGTCTACGCAAAGGTTGCATCTTTCTCTGTCAACTTGTGAAGCGGCTTCGCGATTTCAGCGAAATTAGCAATGAATCTTCTATAATAAGACGCCAGCCCTAAGAATTTCTTAACTTCTGTTACGTTTCGTGGTATAGGCCATTCTGCAACTGCTTCTAACTTTCTCGCGTCCACCTTCACACCATTCTTCTTAACAATGTATCTGAGATACTTCGCGCTGTAAAAGAATACACTTATCCGGTGACAACTTTAAGCGTGCCCATCTTAACCACTGAAGAACTTCCTTCAGGTTCTCCATTTGATCAGAAAATGACGATCCGTAAACTATAACATCGTCCAGATATACTAAGCATACCTTCCACGAAAGACCTGCCAACATATGTTCTATCAGTCTTTTAAAGGTAGCGGGTGCATTGCAGAGTCCAAAAGGCATGACTTTAAACTGCCAGTGTCCAAGGCCTGTTACCGAGAATGCTGTTTTTTCCATGGCTTCGGCGCTAAGTTGAACTTGCCAGTACCCAGACTTCAGGTCAAGAGTTGAGAACCAAGTCGCTCCTTGTAAAGCTCCCATTGTATCGTCTATCCTCGGCAGCGGATACGAGTCTTTTCTTGTAATGTTGTTCAGCTTACGGTAATCCACGAAAAACCGTGTAGTGCCGTTTTTCTTACGCACTAATATGATAGGTGACGACCAAGGACTTGTTGATGGCTCTTTAATTCCCCCTTTCAACATTTCGTCCACAGCTCGTCCCGCTTCCTCTCTTTTTACTCTTGGCATCCATCTTGCTTGTTGTTTTATAGGAGGATGGTCACCAGTGAAGATGTTATGTTTCACCACGTTCGTTTGTCCTATGTCAGTAGCATCCTTTGAAAACACATCAGAGTTCTCACACAAAAAATGACTCAATAACCGCTGCTCGTCTTCGTTCGGAAGACTACGTACACTCCTGTCGTAAAGACTGTGAAGATGTTTAGGCAGTTCATTCTCACTGGTGGATAACTCATTCTCGTTCATACGTAACTCTTCATCGGTCCTTCTCCAAACACATCATCACCCGAAACAGTTTCACACCGAGCTAAACACGTTCCCCGTTTAATTTTCCGCGGCTTATCAGCGATATTTAAAACACGCACTGGTAACAACGATTGTCCAGGTTAGCGAGACCTTTTCCAACCAAGACATCCGGAACATTATGTTTACATGGCTCTATAGTACAGTAACCTTTCACTGGTTTAATCCCACGGACCGATCCTTTCACAATTACTTCCGTTCTTGGCGGGATAATCACAGCAGTACTAACCACAACACGTAGCACTCGGCATCACGTTTTCCATTACATCACAAGCTCACATACTCTCCACCAACACAAATAATGGAATATTCAAGATCCAGTTGACAACGATGCAATGTCATAAAATCCAAACCTAAGATAACATCTTCGGTAATGTCACCAATCCAAACATCATGAATGAATTTCGTACTACCCACCGTAATAGTCATTTATCCTCGCCCAACAAGTGGCACTTTATCACCCGTAACGGTTCTAATAGAGTTTCGAGCAGGTTTGATATTCTCTAGAGGTATATTTAACGACGGTAATAGAGTGGAGTTGATGATAGTTATGCTACTGCCAGTGTCAATTGTTACTCGACATGGAACGTTTTTAACTAATGCTTCCAATAAAAGTCCTTGGAAAATTTCATTTTTCGGTTGTCCGTTATTTATTTCTTTTGAGGTCCTGTCTTTTATCACTGGATCTCGACCTCTAATTGATCCAGCTAACGCCCGTTTCCCAGCAGATTACTTGTGTTTTGATCACGTCCATCGCTTGCAAACGGATTGTTCCTCTCACCCCGATTCTCCGGACTGCGACCACGTTGATTCTGATCTCTCTCGTCAGAGTGACTCCTAGAATTCCAAACGTCGTCATTCCCGTTTCGACGACTATTTCTCCTTTCCGTTACGTAATCAGGACAATTTCTCTGAAGGTGATCTCCACGACATGTCCAACATTTTCTTGAGGGCGACACTGGAGTTCGTGCACCTCTTCCGCAGTGCTGTACATATTCACCAGTGAAATTTCGCATTTCCTGTGTTAATGCTTTAAGCTGGTCTAGCACACCATTCCACGGGCCAACTTGACTATTTGAACCATATCGAAGCTCGTCTATTCGAACTTCACGCACATATCGCGATCGACGTTTATTTGCTAGAACAAATGACTCCAATTCAAGGACAATCTCGAATGCTTGACGGAGGGTGGTGGGTCGACTCTGAGCTATTCGCAAGCGGATGTCGTCATCATGCACTGCATCAACAAACTGGTTTTTAGACAAGGCTTCGAGCATCTCCGGGGTGCCACTCGGATAGGCTAGTCGAACTAGCCTTTCGATGTCTCCTGCGAGTTCTGGTAAACTCTCATGACGACGACGAATGCGATTTCTCAGCGTTGCTCGATTCAATTCAGACTGACACAGTGTTCCATAACGACTGTCTAACACTTGAACCAAAGCATTATAATTTCGCCGACTGGAATCTGATAAACAATTCAACACACTGAGTGCTTGCCCCTGTAAGCTGCCTGCGAGGAAAGCGGCTTTTTCTTGACTTTCCCATCCATTAATTTCGGATACAATCTCGAACTACGTTTTGTAAGCATCCCAAGAGGTTTTCCCATCGAATGTTGTCGGCTTTTGAGTTGGTCTGCCAACGTCTCGAAGTGTGGAAGTTTCTCTCTTCAGGACTGATGCTTGAGTTTCCGACTTACGTGTATCAGGTACCCTGGAATCTTCACCGTCCATATAGTCTGGCAATTTCACCTTGGTTCGACCGCCCACCCGAGGTGTTGATGACCGTTCCACGCCAATAATTCTGCTGTCAACTCGTTTACATATTTCATTACTAAATTCCTCTTTCATTTCACGTTTTAAATCTTCAAGCGCCGATGCCAAAGGGCTTGTGTATGTTTCAAGAGATTGCTCTTCTTTAGCTTTACAATATTCAAGTACCTCCAAGTGTATCAATTCGATTTTTCGGTCAACGTTGTTTTCAAGCTGGGCAAACTTGAGATTTAATTGCTTGATTTCATTAGCAAATTCGCGCCTTATATTTTCCATTACTGCTGCTTGATTTCGCCGCCATTCGTTCATTTCCTCAATATGTTTTCGCTGCATGAAGTGCTGGGTTTTCATGATTTCTTTCTGCTCAAGCAACATCGCAAATATTTCTTCAGATTTAACTTCTGTACTTTCAATATTCGAGCCGCTAAATTCTTGTTCTTGCTCACCCGTATCTACTTGTTGTTTGGAGGCTTTCTCTTCAGCCGCATACTGCGACCTTGTTTGGGGCATCATTTGCCGTTATATCAATCGTTTAAACACAATATTTTAGGTTCGAATACTGCCGACTACGCCAATTGTAGCGGTGGCCGTTTTTCTCAGCACGTATATATATTTCTCCTTGTTAATACATATCAGTACAAAGGATACACCCAAAAAAACCTATTTACATAAACTACAAAGTACATGATGCATGTCGGAAGTCACGCAATCTGAACCCAATTATTCTACACTTACACAGGCTTATATGACGTAACTACATACTCCCACCCGATGGGGAATTCTCTAACGACAGATTCAAAATCCGACTCAACTTCACAAAACACCGTACGCAATACATGTTCTGTGACTAAAGCTCCTTTCAATACCGCTTACAGTGCTCGCTTTGTCTCCCGTACGAGTCTTTCCCAAACACCAGAAAAGTGTGGGGCACTTGGTGGATGAAAAATCCAGTTCAGTTCGAATCGCGCCAGCTTTCTATCAAGACTTCCTTTGCTCCAACTATTCAACGACGCTTGTAGTTCATTATCTGCGCCTCGAAAGTTAGTTACGCAATCGGTACAAATTTGCTTAGGTTTTCCACGACGTGCTATAAATTGACGCAGCACGTTAATGAAATCATCTGCATCCAGCGATGGTACAACTTCCAGGTGCATTGCACGAGTCGTTAAACATGTGAATATACAATTATGTCAATTCCACAAATGGTAAAAGGGGGTTCGTAAGGCGTTACTCTACATGGTGGTAATGGTGCCATCTATTGCTGAAGTTGTGGTGCGTTAATTCTACTGCACAAAAAACATTTATTAATAAATGATTCTACGTACGAGAGAACGAGCTTTGCAAATCCAAACCACTTGGCGGAGTAAACTTAAGGTTTGTTCTTGGCCGATAAGAGCGTTAAAAGTTCTGCTACCAATAGTTCTGCTACCAAATGGTGTTTGGCAATATTGCTGGAAATTTAGCATCATAAGATATTGGTGCAAATTCAAGACCACTCCCAGTCGTACAAGACCGTTCTCTCCTATAAACGGGTTGAATTTCGCAATGTTGCTCGATATTTTGACATTTCTGTTTTCCTTCAGATCTTTTATTTCTTCTGGATACGTTTGGGATTGGACCATTCTTAAGATGTCTGTTTCAGCAATCTTCAATTCACCAAGGGTGACTACACTTGTATGTTTATAGTTTCTATCCTTTAGATAATTCTTAAATCTTGTCAACCACATAATCTTTGATTTAAGAGCATTCCATGAAGAATATCTTTCTAATAATGCGCAGAGTCGTCTTTCGTCAGCCACTAAAACATTTGATTGAAGATCTTCTAAGACTTCAGGATCTTCTTCCACGTTCTCCTTTAATTCCGTTAAAGGCCATTGTGACTTCGGTTGTCTTAAGAATGGTGGACCAACCAACCATCGACAATCTGAGGTAAGATCAGCTGGATGTAATCCTCTTGATGCATCGTCACTAGGATTTTCTTCGCTGGGACAGTAGTGCCATTGTGATGGGTTGGATTTCTCTCGAATTTCTGCTACTCGATCCCCGATATACACTGTAAATCGTTTGTGGTTATTGTAGATGTACTTAAGAACCACCTCAGAATCAGTCCAATAGTAAACTTCACTAAATTCGATTTCAATCTCACGTTGAATTCTTTCACTTAGGCGGATCGATAACACTGCCATGCTGCTTGTAACTCTAATCTGGGAATAGTTATCTTGCGAAGAGGTGCAGTACGAGATTTTCCCAAAGCAAACGCACACGTAACTGTTCGTCGCTATAAACTACACGTATGTATGACACAGCTCCATAGCCAATAGCACTTGCATCAGAAAAACAATGAAGTTGCATTTCCTCGACAAATCTTTTACCTGCAGGCAACATAACAGACTGAATGCGGCCTGTATAACAACGAGGTATTGTGACTTGTGCAAGCGCAGGTAAGCCTTCTTTCCATTCTTTCCACTTCCGTAACTCATTGGGCGGAAGTTGTTCGTCCCAATCCAATTCCGCTTGCCATAATCTCTGCAATAGGGCTTTAACTACCAACGTTATCGGTGTAGCAAACCCAAGTGGATCATAAAGGCTAGCAATGGTGGCCAATACTCCTCGTTTTGTTTCAGGATTATCTAGCTTAAATTAACAATGCTAAATTTGAATGTATCGTCTTCCACCGTCCAATGAAGTCCCAATGCTCTTTTCACTGGTAGCTGGTCTAGATCAAGATCCAATGAAGGGTCAGCTCTCTCTGCTTTCGGAATCGATGCAAGAACTTTCTTACTCGAGCTACACCATTTTGTCAGACGGAATCCACCTTTCAAGAGAAGGTCCATCAAATCTTTAGCAAACTTCATTGCTTTGAGATCACTTGGAAATTATTTGAGTAGGTCGTCAACATGGAAGTCCTTCTCTACTGACTTTACCACATCTTCGCTGAAGAAAGCAGCGTTATCTTTTGCCGTTTTGCGTAAGGAAAAATTTGCGATTGACGGCGAATCTTTCGCTCCAAAGACATATACGTTCATACAATAAGTCTCTGGCTTATCTTTCCCAATCGGGTACCACAAGAATCGCAAGGCATCACGGTCAGGTGGTGAAGTTCTCACTTTGTGGAACATTTCCTGTATGTCAGCAACGATAGGCACTTCACCAATACGAAATCTCAACAGCACGTCGACTACTTCGTTCGTTAGATGTGGTCCCTGGACAAGGTTATCATTGAGCGAAGTTCCTTGGCATTTATCAGCTCCGATAAGAAAAGTATTTCTTCTAGTTCGACTTGAGGAAAATCTATGTCAGATAAATGTTTCCAATCTTGAACGTCTTCATTTCTCGGTGCAACCTTCAGTTGAACCGCTTGAACGTCCAATTTGTCGGTAACGATGGTTTCACGACTTTGTAACTTCGAAGCGCCCCGATTCGCAGATTCCAAAACAAGATTAACTTTCTCTGCTTGAACTAAGGTCGAACCCGTCAACGACTTTACTGACAGATTACGCTGCGTACCTTTAAGATTGAGCTTCTTCGCTAAACAGCCGTGAATGAATGATGCTTCACTGGCTTGATCCAACAGGGGATACGTTGTAATTCCACGAACCATCGTCTCCATAAACTTTAACCGCGACTACGTGTAGCGCTGTCGCACCTCTGTATCCACTTGGAATTAGACAGGAAGTGTAAGTTTGGACTTCGGCGTCACATTTGGTTGCGCTGTGTGGTGATTGTCCTCCACGAGTCTTTGGTATATCATTTGTATTTGCTAAGTGCAAGAGCTCATGGTGTTTTCTGTCGCAGTCCTTTACCGAGCATTTTGAACTTTTACAAAACCTCTTAAAATGATTGCCCGACAGACATTGGAAACATAGCTTAGCACTTAGGACGAGTTTCCTTCTTTCTGCGACAGGCTTCTCAAGGAAAATCTTGCACGTCTCGAACTTGTGACTCTGCTTACAAACAGGACATTCTTTGCTAGATGGGTAACGATTGGATCCAAATTGAGTCGCGAAACTTGAAACATGTTCATATTTTGACTTATTTTCTTCTCGCGTCTGTTTCGGTCGTCTGTCCTTTGTAGGATCTCTCAAACGTCCGTAAATTGGGTCGTTTTCTGCACGAGCCCGATCACCAAGGAATTCCGTTAGATCTTGAAAATTCGGTGGCGATTTTCTTTTCTTCATTATAGAACTAGCCACGTCTCTCCATTTCACTTGATTGTGGTACGGCGAGCTCGAGCGTGATACGATTCTTCGCATGTGGTCTGTACTAATCTCGGAATCGCTATACATGATGACTTTTAATGTTTTCTTTTACGATTTGCATTCGTCCGCTAGTTTCTCTAAACCTTTACTGTCGCCATTAACAATAATTGGACCCCGCACGATTGAGTCTATATATGCATCTACTATCATATAAGATTGACCAAAACGAGATTTTAATACATTTAACGCTTCTGTCAACGCACCAGAACCCATACCTTCGTATCTTTTCACGGCCTCTTTGGTTCGCCCGTCCAGATACTGAATTAAACGAGTGAGTTTTTTTACTTTCCGGCATTGGCTGTGAAAGAACTTGGTCTTGAAAACGATTAACAAATCTCAGGTAATCCTTTGGGCCACCTGTGAACTTGACGATCTCGATTGGCGATGCATTAGACAAATTAGCGAGCGTTTCAGCAAGTAATTGCTGCACTGCATTGGCTGGCGCAGCTCGACCTTGACCACTAAAATAATTGTTATTTTGGTCGAACGCTTTTGAATCATGCAAATCTCTGTTAGGCAATGTAGACTCTGCGCCATATATATATATATATATATATATATATATATATATATATATATATATATATATATATATATATATATATATATATATATATACGACCTTGACCACTAAAATAATTGTTATTTTGGTCGAACGCTTTTGAATCATGCAAATCTCTGTTAGGCAATGTAGCCCTGCGCCATATATATATATATATATATATATATATATATATATATATATATGTTAAGTTGTGTAATTGTACACTCCGTAATATGTCAGTAAGATGAAAATGTTCTAGAGTGTGTATTATATAATTTCCATACCCAGCGCAAGCAGATAGATGCCACTTATATATATATATATATATATATATATATATATATATATATATATGTTAAGTTGTGTAATTGTACACTCCGTAATATGTCAGTAAGATGAAAATGTTCTAGAGTGTGTATTATATAATTTCCATACCCAGCGCAAGCAGATAGATGCCACTGTTTGAAAACCGCATTGCTATATATCCATCGAACGGATTGATTCCTGTATAGTTTATAGTATGAATTAATTTTTTGGGCATTTAAAAGAAAATAATTCCATTCAATCAATAAATTTTTACTTATTTATAGGAACTGCAGATGTTGGGGAAAATGATTTAGAGCGAAGATACCGCGATATAACCACTATAAACAAGAGATTGCTTTCAACTGCACCATTTGGGAAAATCTTGGAAGAAGACAAGTTTCTGGCCGGTAAAAGAAATATCAAGTCAAGAAATCAAAGGCGACAAAACTTTGTTGGTTAGTTCCGATGGTTATATAACTCTATTAACATAATAATACTGTATACATGAAACAATAAGTATTACTTAGTTCTCATCGGTAAGAGTAGTAAAATTATTTTTGAATTTGCACATTGTGCAATTACTGCAGTGCAATTAACAAAACAAGGACAGAGCCTGGAAACGAGGCAGGAAAAATAAACATGACGGCAGATAGTAGCAATGAATGTAAATTTTCATTTTCTGACGACTTTTTGCCCACTTTCAATGGAAAATCGTGCGTGAATATACACTGTATAACAATTTAAGTACAAGGCCAAACAAAGCACATAAACCGAAAAGGTTTGCTAACAAGCAATGAAAACAATGCTTAAATGGTTTAGATGACAGAGTGCACAGGTGTCAGCGAGCTTGCGAGAAGACTCTTGCGATGAAAGGAAAGGAGCCTTTATACCGGAGACCAGGGCAGCACTAGCCTGTGCACAGACTGTAAATACGCTTTTTAAGCACTTCTGCGCGGAACTCTTTACGACAACAATCCTCTATAATACAACATAAACAATTATCATAAAGCCTTATGCTAAGCGAAAATCGGGAATGCTGGAGGAGACGTGACAGAATGTGCATTGAATTATTTCAAGATTTATCGAACCCTGAACACAAATTGCACAATTTACTACCCAAAATATCCAAGAAAAAATAGGTACATACAGGGTAATAAACTGCGTCGTTGTTAGCTACAAGTTAAACTGCATGCTGTATATCCCGGGGAATTTAACATTGAATGGACTATTCCATATAATATCCTTCCCCCCCGTCGAGGTTACATGTTTTTCATAGTTATGCCATTGACGAATTCCAAGCTCAAAACTCTTTACCCCTGAAGAATTCCACGTTCAAAACCCTTTACCCCTGACGAATTCCATCACTGAAAAATTTCAATCTCAAAACCCTTCACCCTTGAAGAATCCAAGCTCAAAACCCTTTACTCTTGAAGAATTCTCGACAGGGGGTACGGATATTAAATGGAATAGCCCATTGATTTGTCCTTTATAGCTACATATTAATTATGGACCAAATAATTTTTATTAAAACCTTTTACAAGTATTATGTTATAAAAAATAAATTTAGATTCGTCAAAAGTGGATCTGGTAATCCTTACTGACAAATATTCTCGAAGAGGATCGCGAAATTTTTATCGTCAGAAAAGATACATTCGAGAGTTGGTTGGATACTTGCCAGTTTTCCCTGCAAGAATAAAAATTGCAGCTGTTTCCATTTCATCTCATGTGAAACTAGAATTTGACTTCAATACGTTCATTAACAAAGAGTGTACAGCAAAAGGGATACAAAAAATAAGGTAACTATTACAATTATATAAATTTCTCAGACGAAAGTAATGACTTCCACCGTAAAAACAAAGGCATCCCAAAAATGTCCACCACTATATTTCGTGGTATTACTAACGTTAGCATTATTTAGTAAGTTTCCGATTTTTATGGATGAAATAACTGTCCTATGTTTGACTGATCAAAATAACCAGGATTCTGGAATCGTTTAATTAAGGTGGCGACACCAATATTCTGACTAGTCCAAATATTCTAGTCAGGTAAAATAATCGAAAATGTTTTATAAAATTAAATAATTTGTTGAATCTCTAAATTCAATACTTTCAATAGTGCCTTACACCATGCATTATGTTTTTGTTTTTGATTCGTATGACACTTTACCTAGCTTTTCTTCCACACACCAACCATTTAAGGACAATTTCAATTAGTTTTATATCATACCAAATCTTTTATGTCAGGGACCACAAACTATCATTATAGTTTAAGAGTATTTTAATTAACATCCCATTTTAAAAGCCTTAAAACACTTAAAGAACTAATTTCCATAATTTGGACAAGTTAAACTAGTATTGGTGTCGCCACCTTACGTGATGGTTGGTTATTTTGAAAAGTGAAATATCAATGAATTAAGACGACAGAATAATAATTTTATCTGCATGAAACTTCTTTCAAAGCTATAACGTTGCAACACAACAAAACATTGTGGGCGGCATTTTTTTGAAAACCCTGCATGTATGCAATGTCCAGGAACAACATCACGGCATTTTAATTCTTATAACTCATGAGAAATATGATTGGAGAATACTTTTGGTTATGATGGTAAAAATTGTACTTTCCAAAGCGTTTCCAAAAAAATGTTTCTCGGCTAACTTTTGCGGCGCTATATGTTAATTAAATATATAATAATCTATTTTATACGTTCATTGATTAATATATAGCATCTGTTTTCTTGCCGACTCCCAGTTATAGTCAGATATAATATCATCAACCGTCATCATGCTCAACGTTAACATTTTATGCATAGGTACACGAAAGGCCAATCATCGCTAAGCAGCGGACTGGAGTACATGTTTGATGATTTGATATTTAATTCAACCAAAGGTGCTCGTTTAAATGCACGAAAAGCAGTCATCGTTTTCTCCGAAAATCAACTGGATGTCGATCAGAAAATTTACTGGGATAACCTTTCTAACCAGCTTGGTGTGGAGATAGTGTTTATCGGCGTACAAAAACAGACTGGCGCACAGTCCCTTAGAGTAACAGGCATATTATCTTTGATGTACATGGAAAATGTCAATACTTTGAAGGAAATAGGAAAATTGTTGGGCACAGGTACTGTAAGTCTGTAACTGTTGAAAAATACAAGAAAATGTTATTCGACTGTACTTGATTGGTTGATATTTGTTCAGTTATTAGCGTAACAGTAAATTGCTTGCCAGTGTCTTTAGTGCGGTCTTTATTAGGCCTACATTCCAAGCAAAAACAAACATACTATCAGCCATTACAGCCATATCATTATTTAGATCAATCACTATTACCCTATAATAGTCACTGTCTATAGGCTTTTTCTGAAACATTTGTTGTTGTGACGTATATTACACGCCAAGAACGAAAATATCAATTTTTGTTTCAATTTTGATGAAGCTTTCCAGGTCGAAAAGAACTGAATACATGATTAGTAAGATTTGTATGCACGAATATACTGCACGAACTACTCTGTGGTTGACGAAGGCATGCAATCTTCAACGTCCTCTGGTTTCCATTTTGACCGTTTGATTTTCGATATTATTTTAGAAATACCGCCACAGTGCCAAACAGGAAAAGTTGTCTATGATCATTGTCGAAGGCGTTGCAAGTGTGTTAACGGTAAACTTGTGAATTGTTGCCGAGTGCGAACACAGTTTACAGAAATGACTGAAGAAGAGCGAGCACGATATATTCAAGTAATTAAAACTGCCTCAACTAACCCATTGTTTAAGAAACGATATGAAGCCTTTTTGACGGTACATAAGACCATCTTCAGGACAGGTATTCACCAGGCTACATTCTTCCTACCGTGGCATCGTTGGTACATTCTACAGTATGAAAACCTACTGCGCGAAATTGATTGTAGTATTACAGTGCCTTATTGGGAATCTGCTGAGGAAGCAAATGATGCACTGGCAAGTGATATGTGGATCACAGGGGACCATGGGTTTGGAGGAAATGGTACCGGGTCATCAAGCTGCGTCCAAGATGGTCCATTTAGAGCTGAGGTACTTTTCAGTTTTGCATAGTTTGCGAATTACGCCGTTAAGGCATAAAATAACATCACTAGTCAGTGCTTTAACGGACAACTTTTAATACTATAACATGCGCTCAGTTTTCACGGCTAAATCTGAACTAATTAAAGATGTAGATATATTAATTATTCACAGCAGTCTTCCAAGAGGAGGATTAGTTTGGTGATTACTATGTACGTAGGCCTAATTGGGCAAGATTGGATCTTTTACAAAGAATTTTCCAATTTTTAACGTTATTAATTTCCTTAACTTCATTATTTACGAATAGGTATGGTCAGTAATTGAAAGTGCTGGTGGAGGATGCCTGACAAGGAACTTCAATGGTCGTTTTCCTGATTGCATCACCGTAATGGAAGCGCTGTTGGAGTTTTCAAATGTTAGCAGTTTTGAAGACTTTGAATATTTCTTACACCGTGAATTTCATGATGCTGTGCACTGTGTCATCGGCGGACAAATGTGTACTGATAATTCCGCATCGGCCCCAGAATTTTTCCTACACCATGGTTTTGTGGATAAACTTTGGTCAGATTGGCAGAGGCAGAGTAAAGAACACACAAAGAATGAGCATTTTACATCACAGACTGTCATGATGCCCGCAACGAACCACTTACCTAAAGATTTGTTAAATGTTCGTGAGCAGCCGGGATGTGTGTGTGTGCAGTATCGTGATCCTGGAGATGAAATCTACCAAACCCTCTTGGGTAAGTCATAGTCATTTCTATAGGGACTCCAATATTATATGCATGAGCATTTTCAATCAAACACTTCAGTTTTACATGGTAGACTTGTAAAAGAATGTCACCAAATGGTTATCTCGACCCGTATAACTGTTTGATTATGGATCTTTATAACTTTTTAAATAATATAACTATATATAAGTAGGATTTAACTTGCAATTTGATCGGGTAATGTGCGTACATTATAACGCAATAATGCACTGTGGTCCGAGGCACGGTGGTCTTTTTGTCTCATCAGTTTCCCCCCGCTTCAGTTCTGCTTTTTAGCCAAAAATGTGAACATAATTAACTTCGGGGAATGTTGGGAGAATACCCGAGAAGGGTGTAAAAGCGTACATACTTCTCTTGTATTCTCCCAAAATTCTGGATCCCCGCGTGCATTGTCACACCATAAACGCACGCGACTCGTTTTCTATTTTAACTGATTTCCTCGTTGGAGCCTCATGATGCATGATGGACACGAAAACATCCTTTAAGCCAGTTTTCGACTTCAAGCGTACCGTACCGAAACGTATCAAACACATTTTTAAATTTCAAAATTTAGTGAATGTTGATTGGTTAATACTTCCGTAGTACGCCAAAAAGTTGACTTGCGACAAACGTTTCGTTTTAATACGCGAATACACCCTGAAGTACGTAGATTCATTAACCTCTTTTCAATCTGCGCATGCTCACTAGTACGTTTCGTTTCGGTACGGTACGATTGAAGTGGGAAACTGCATGGCTTTATTAACAAAAGAAAATTGTCCGACTAATGTGTTTTAAATCTTATACAGATCATTCAGAACCTTTATTTTTGAATCTTAAAATCTTGAATATCTACCAAATTAATGATCATCTTTGCAGTCAATTTATGTATCCCCGAATGAATTATGATCAAAATTTGCCAAACCTTTACAATTATTACTTTATTCAAAATAAAGAATTGCATAATTATAATACGCGAAACTCTTCAAAATTACATTAGTTATAAGAGAACGAACTATAGCGTTCACACCGTTTTTAACAAGGGAATTTCGGTTATATATATATATATATATATATAGATTCATGTATTTAATTTTAGTCAAAACAATATAGAGGCCTTAATTATATCAAAAGTCCAACAGGATTTCAAAACGTCCCTAGCTCCTTTATATTATTGTATTTTACTATTTTAACTATATTTTAAATATTTTGTGAGCAAATATATTCTATTATTATTATGACATCTCATTATTTTCACTGATAAATTTCGTGGAAGTATACGTAATTATTTCAAATTTCATTGTCATATGTGATTTTATACGAGACGATGATCGGAAAATAGCAAAAATAGCCCCATTATACTACCGTATGCATTGACAAAGTACTAAACAGGTTGCTATCGATTGCTAGTCAGATCATGTTGCCGGATTTACTATTTAATCGTGAAATTATTATCATCCGTAATGTAACGTATAAATAATATTGCCGCTTTGCCTTGAAACATATAGTTAATCAAAATAACTACAGCGCCTAATTTTTTATACAATAAAACAGCTGTTTGAAGTAAAAATAATTAAATAACAAAAATAAAATGGTTCAACAATAATATAGATTTCTCAGATCTATATCAGTTCCGAGTTAATTTATCTCTCCATAAAACATTAAATAATTTTTAAACAGGTTCAATTTTCCCTCCACAGCATTCTCCAAGAAACAGATAGAAGACCTGCCGAGGGTGCAATTACCTCCCTATCCAGCACGAGCAAGAAAATTGTTTGATGTCACTGAAAAGGATATACAACAAATGGAAAAGATCCGCTCTTTTTTACAACCCGTCAATGTATTGCGCGAAGAAGAGTTGACAGGTCAAGATCGGATCCTAGGGTTTAAGAAAGAGGATCTAGCCAAGGAGTGGGCAAGAGGTATGTAGAGGCATGCTCAAGTTGCCGATTACTTGTTTTTATACTGTATATATCTCATTAGTTATGAGAATATTGAAAACAAATCCCTTAAAACTTCTTCTTAATAACACATTTTTTAACAATAATATAGAGCCTATACGCAGAGTCACAGATACACTCCCATCCCAAGTGATAATGGGGCGATAAACATTTTATAACTACCGGGTGTCCCAAAAAAAAGTACTCCTGTTTGATTCGTAATAACTTCTAAACAAGTAAAGCTTTTAAAGCGAAATAACTTGAATCAAATTGAGAAAGGACTAACTTAGATTTTGATATATTACAGTTGTATTTCACTTAAAAATTCACCGAGATATTAATCTTTAAAATCGGGAGCATATTTCTGGATGTGTCTGAAATATGGAAAAAACGGCGTATCAAATATTAATCAAGATTTGCCCGAATGAAACATGCACTATTACCAGTAAATAAATGACACTTGACAAATTGTTTATTATGAAACAAAGTATTATTATATCTACAAAATACAAGCAAAATTTATTCGTCCGAAATTCGCGTGTGTTCCTAGCACGAATACGTTTCCTTATTTCATGAGACCACTGCATCGCGAAGGATAGTCATTGATCGTTCGTAGCTCTGAATTAGGGCATGCTGTCACAATGGAATTGTGAAGCTCTTCGAACTTCTGCAACGTTCTGAAATCTTGTTAAGAACACCCAAACTCTTTTGCCTTTTCTTAATCTTGGCATGCAAGTTCAGAGTAAACTGAGAATTATATGAAACACAATCAAACCATATAACTCCATAAGACATAACAATTAAGCAACTCCCCAGAGACATGCAACATTTTTGGAACAAAACGTAACAAAATAGTAGCGTTGATACGGTGATGTGTATTTGCAAAAAGCAATATTATTTCCTTCAATAAAGAATATTATCATTCACTTTATAGTGTTCTCAATTTTGATTGGTTAATTTACCTGCAAATAACTGCGTGCAAATAATAGTCTGAGCATGCGCATTTGTTAAAAACGTTGCTCAGCTACAAATAATAGTCTGAGCATGCGCATTGCCTTCAATTTTTGTAAACAATGGCGGCTCGCTTTGCTGAACTTTCGGAAAATGAGTTGTCTTGCTTATTTAAAAATAAAAAAGCAACTAAAATCGCCGTCAATGTCTTTCGCCAGCATTTAGAAGCAAGACTAAATCAACAAAGAAGATTTAGTTGGCTTAAAACTACAAAAGAAACTCTTGCCAACGTCCTTCGCAAGTTTAATGCAGAAGCAAGAAAGAGAGACGGCGAATTTATATTAAACGAAAGATAAAATGAAGTGAATGATAAAACAATTATTGAACTCGGTTCTCGCAAAATATCGTGATTTGATTCATCCTGCTCTAACCGAGAAATAATCAACTCAGTTTGTTTGAACCCATTAAAAACATAAAAAAATTAGGCTATTTAATTTAAGAAAAATTTAATCGCCTGCCTTCCATGGTCAGTCTTTCATGTACTTTTAAGTTTGTAAAGACCTAATATTAAATACTTGCAATACTTGACAGCAATACTTCTTCCCACTCCGAAAAATCAAACAACACCCAACAGACAGGCCTTGGATTACTCCTGAAGTGAAGAGTCTAATCCAGCAACGACAACAAGCAATGTCCAAAGACCCTCCTGTTTACAAAAAATTGAGAAATAAAGTTAACAGGCTAAATAACAGTCTTAGGAGTTCCTTTTTTGCAAATAAGGTAAAAAACTGTGACAATGTAGCTTCCTGGTGGAAATCCATCAAACAACTTGGAGGACTTCCTAAGAAATTACCAGTATCCAGTGTTTTTGTATCGGGCAAAGAATTCCATTCAACCGAATTAGCAACAAAAATTAATGAAAGCTTCCTGTGTATCACTAACTCTCTACCACCTCTAAACAGCCAATTGGAAAACGTTGAAACTGATCCTGCTGTAGTTAACGAAATTATTTCAAAATACCACATCTCTCCTGAAGATGTTTTTACGAAGCTCTCCAACCTCAAACGCACTAAAGCCTCGGGTCCTGACAACTTACCAAGTTGGGTCTTAAACGAGTTTGCCATGGAACTCTCATCACCCGTTGCTGAAATTTTTAACGCGTCAATCCAAGAGAGAGTCGTACCCGTTTCATGGAAAGTAGCAGATGTAATACCTATTCGTAAAACAGATAATGTTAAGGAAATTGAAAATGATCTACGCCCAATATCTCTAACACCAATTCTCTCAAAAACCTTGGAACATTTTGTCGCAGAGTGGATTATGTCACAGATCAGACACCTCGTTGACAGGAAACAATTCGGATCACTCGCCGGCTTATCTACAACTCACGCTCTTCTATCCTTTTTTCATCATCTGTATGGAACTACCGACCAATCTGACCAATGCGTGCGTGTGCTGCTTCTGGATTTTAGTAAAGCCTTCGACAAGATTGATCACCATATTCTTATCAAGAAGATGGAGGAAATGGCCATCGATCCCGTTCTTATTGCATGGGTAAAACAGTTTCTTACTGGCAGGAAACAGCGAGTGAAGATAGGTAAATACACCTCAAGTTTCGAACCAGTGAACGGCGGGGTTCCACAAGGCACTGTCTTAGGTCCGATTCTATTTATGATTATGATAAACGATTTGTTGGTTGATTGGGACGATAGATGGAAATATGTTGACGATTCGTCTGTTTCAGAAACCCTTTCTAGAAACCAAGATTCGAACTTTCAAACTATTTTAGAAGGAATTACGCAGTGGTGTGCAAGAAATAACATGTCCTTAAACCCCCGTAAATGCAAAGAAATCCTCGTTTGTTTTTGGAAAACAATCCAAATTTCCCTCCAATGATCGTTGACGAACAGCCCATTGAAGTTGTGAAATCCGCTAAACTCCTTGGCTTAATTTTCAAGGACGACCTAAAGTGGAATGACCACGTGGCTTACATAGTGAAAAAATCCGCAAAACGCCTTTACATGCTTAGACTCCTCAAGCGAGCTCGTTGTGACACTAAAACATTGATATCAGTGTATTTTTCATGTGTAAGACCCATCTTGGAGTATTGCACCCAAGTTTGGCATTATAACATACCTGAATACCTATCCAAAGAAATAGAAAGGATCCAGTCAAGAGCGTTGAAAATAATTAACCCATCGTCATCATACAAAGAATCCTTATCAGATCTCAATATCCCAACATTGTATTCTAGGCGCGAACTGTTATGTTCAAAATTTTTTAGAAAAAAGGTTCTTCCGCAAACTAGTCCTCTATCCGAACTAGTTGAACCAGCCGAACATCCAAGCTACAATCTACGCACATCGAATAAACTCGTTCCAATTAATTGTCGGACAAATCGCTTCAAAAATTCGTACATTCCCTCGTCTGTAACGATTTATAATAAACACTGAGTAACTATAAATTACATACATTTTTATTTGTAAATATTATGGTAATATCATACTAAAAGTTTTAAACTCTTCCTATATTATAGTAAATATGTTTTTGTAAATATACAATATTTTTCTAATCAACCTTACCCTGTAAATGATAGATGTATTTCAACCTTCATGGTTGCAAAGTCTATATTTTATTAATAAATTCAAATTCAAATAAATTCAAATAATTTCGAACGTTCATATTTCAGGAAACACTGAGCTAGCTATAAGACTTACATGTAAGACGTCTAAATCTACGCCATATCCCTTACAAACCCTAACGATAATTCGCTGAAATACAAGTTAGCCTGTTATGTCATTAAGCAAACAAACGCTGGAGTTAATATTTGATATGCCGATTTTCGCTAATTTTAGGCGCATCCCAAAATATGCTCCCGATTTTGAACATTAATATCTCCGTGAATTTTTAAGTAAAATACAACTGTAATATATCAAAATCTAAGTTAGTCCTTCCTCTATTTAAGTTATTTCTCTTTAAAAGCTTTACTTGTTTAGAAGTTATTACGAATCAAACAGGAGTACTTTTTTTTGGGACACCCGGTACATAATATGAACCTGCCCATATCTGCATCTGTTACTGTACAAATGCTGTTATACTAAGAATATCAAGCTGTTATCACCTATTGAAAGCTGCTTCAAGAAACGTCAAATCATCAGAATTATTTTTCGTTGCAGGACTTCGAAGATCAAAACATAAAAACATGAGAGAAAGCAGGAACCTTAACTAAGTGGAACGAATAACCGGATATGAGAAAATTAATTAACATTAGCAATCAATTTACCTAATAGATATTTAAATTTGTAGATAGTTATTTAAATTTGTGAATTTATCGATTAAATGATTTATCAAACCTTAATGAGCGTGTTACTAATGGTTACTATACCTAATCAATTAATCAAATTCAATTTAGTAATTTAGTAAATTAAAAAGGCGTGTAATTGCAGCAGATAATTTTAAGGAACAATAATGGGGTACTCTCATTAGTGGGGGAAAATTCAAAACAGTACCGGAGGGGAAAACAACAAAAGGACGGCTCCAATTGGTTAGAATAATTAAATAATGAGATATTTAGAGAAACCACGTGCACGTGTCAGTGCCTTTTTTAAGGAATTTTCACTGGGGGTGCAAAACAGGAAAAAAAAGGCAGATTGAAAAATATGAGCCGTCGAGGTTTGGCGAACGAGAGATTTTGTAAAACTTTTAATTATTAACTTCAGCTATATTTTAATTTAAACAATAACTTCAACTCTTTGTAGCTATAATCGTACAGCTATAACCAGTGGCGTAGCCAAACCTTAATTAGACAGATTTAGAAAAGACGACGCGACCTCAAAGACGACGTGAAAATGGCGTCAAAATGGCGTGGCACATCCATATATGGACAGAACACGCAATTTTCACGTCGTCTTTGAGGTCGCGTCGTCTTTTCTAAATCTGTCTATTTTGCGGGGGCGAACCTCGTGCCGAAGGCGTGAGACCGTCTAGGAGGGTCCGGGGTCCGGAAAATTATGAAATCTAGGGTCCCTGAATTGCGATTTCATGCATTTTGGGGGTTAAATCTAGCAGAATTCCGAAGATTATAAAGTACATCGAAGACATGAATTTTTTCAGACATTTCTACTTGGAATTAAATAAATTGGAAAAGTCACCTTGAAAAATAGGTCAGTGTCACCTTATTTCCTCTCTGTGAGGCCGGGGGGATCCCAATGTGATTTTGATCAGAAATATTGCATTTAAATCATTTTAGGTTCTATGAGACACCATTTCCGCATTCTAAAAATTGTGTTGCTTTTTCATACGATACAGAATAAGTCTGAGAAGAAATATTCATGCTATGATGATGCATACATGTATTTAACAGTTAAAAATCTAAACTAAATCTATTCTTCTTGGAAACATATCTACTACAACTGCTTTAACGAGATTTCACAAATCAAGTTCCTCCAGTATATCGTCTTTTTCCTCAGTCGAGACGTACTTAATCAGTTTCAGCTTCGAGCATGTAACGTGTACCCTTCCCCCCCAAAAAAATTTCTCTACGGATTTAGCCTTTCTGAGAGAATGGTTTTTGTGGCGATTGGGGGGGGGGGGGCTCTTAATATAACTTGAGATTTTTAAGAAAAAAAATTTGCAATAAAACCTCCCAAAACAAAACACAACCCCTCTGCGGAGGAGTGTGTTAGGAAATAGTCGCAAGGCTTGGAAAGGCTAGCATTTTATCGGATTGTTTGCATGAAATCTATCGCTATTATGAAATACTCGGTGAAGAACAATATGAATTACACACAAGATGGCTGTGGAGGAGGCTATGGAGGGAGATAATCTCATTATCAAGTAAATCAACTGCAATTCTGACAGCAATCATGAGCAATTCTGCTTCGCACTTCGGGGGCAGAAATGGCTTTACTGGGGGGGGGGCAAATTCTTTCCCTGGGGTGGGGCAATTGCCCCCCCCCAGATATATAGTTAAAAAAGGCACTGGCACGTGTAAGCGAGGGCTCCATGTTTAATCGGCCCATTCAAACTAGAATGTCGTGCCATAAACGAGAGAGCCTCTGAATCGAGCAAAATTTTCACAATTCCTGTTGGCTTCCAGCCTTCAAACGCCTATAGTCTTATGGGGTTTCCTGCGTTATTTTATGGCAGAAAGACAAGCACCAGCGGCTGTTCAAGCCACCCGGCACCTGCTGGACCTCTACCTACGGCCACAACCGGCCGAGGGCCATGTTAGAGCTCAGGACGATGATCTACAACCCGAAAACCGTTGCCAGTAAAGCCCCCGTCGAGTAGGTTCCGTTGGTTTTGCTTTTCTCTCAATGCTCCACATGCATGTTTGTGATAATTTAGGGCATCTCGGAGAAATACCAGTAGTCCTACTTTACATCCCGTATAATGTTTTACGGTGACGTGGTAGCTTTTAGACATATACGGTAATACGTTTAGTCGTATCGTACGTTTCTGTGTGTACTTTTCACAGATTTACGGGTTGTTGTTTGCACCACTTTCGGCCGAAATGTGGTGCATTAATTTTCCGGCGTGCGTAATACAAATTAATACAAAAGTTGCAAATTTCGCAGGGCTATATTTTCCGCATTTTACAACATTGCGCGGCCAAACTTTGCAATTTCACTAATTGTAACATGTTCCGGCTTTCTAGCTGTGGTGATGGATTTTACTCTTCTTGCCTAGATCGAAATTTAGTCTATAGCTGGAATTGTCCATACATTGGTTACACATTTGAAAAACACACATTTGAACAGAAAATATAGGGTCTTAAATAAAGCTTCAACGGGGTCAGGATTTTTAATTTTTTGATTGGATTTAACGTGACAAGGTAAAATAAAAAAATTTCTAAAAATTTTGCCGCTGGGATTTGCGTTTTATTGCCTAGTTTTAAAGTTATCGGCATTCGAACAGCGGTGTATAAAAAGCGCGTAAGTTGGAATGCCGATAATATTAGAACTAGGTAATAAAACGCAAATCCCAGCGGCAAATGTTAAGAAAATTTCTTATTTTACCTTGTCACGTTGAAAACAATAAAAAAAATAAAAATCCTAACCCCCTCGAAGCTTTATTTAAGACCCTATATTTTCTGTTCAAATGTATGTTTTTACCGGAAGTGGGCTCTCTGTGCTCGCAGGAAAATTACCTACAATGACCAATTACGCATTCTGATTGGCTTAGAGCGAAATTGCCAACAAATGCGTTGATTGGTCGAGAACGAAATTCCCCTTTGTTTTTAAGTCGCGTCCCAATCTCGTTCCCCGAGCCTGCGACCGCAGGCTCGGGAACGGGGAACGAGATTGGTCGCGTCCGCGTCGCAAATGTGGTGTTTGTAGGATAGTTTGGGGGTAAATGTGGTGTTTGTAGCAGTGTCTCACTTCTAAGGATTTTTCCTCAGAAATAGGAATTTTGCAAAGTTTTAAGGATTTTTTTAGGAATTCCATTTTTAACGAATTTAAATATTTCGAGAAAGGTCTTTGGCAGTTTTGGTAGAAATAATAAGAATGCTGTTTAGCCTCAAAATATTGTGAGAAAAACGAATATCCTTTCTTTCAGTCTTGTTACACATGTTACAGTAAACTGAAATGTATTTAAAAATAGCAACAAGTTACATAATTATAGTTTCTTGGCGCGACTGTGCATCTTATGTATCCTTTGTATTAACATTCCAATGATTCCATCAACAAAACAATTTACTATTAATTTAGTTATTTACTTCATTGTTGTTTTGAACATTTGCGATAAGTTGGTGAGCAATAATGGATTTGACCGTAGCGACGGCTGATAGAAACCTGAGGTTCGCGGATTCATTTTGAGATCATGAGCATGACAAAGAGATTCGATCTGATTTGCTTTACAAGCTCTATCATGAATTCCAGACATGTCATCTTTGTGGCATCTACCACTCTCGGATCATGACATTCGCTCAAAATGGGGTAAATTTTATTGAGAGGCACATTAAGATTTGCGTCATTGAGAGGAACAGTAAATGGATCGCAAGTTTTAACCGCATTAACTTTCATGAAATCTGACAGGATGGATTTAAGCAGCTTGTGTACTTCATCGTGAAGGTGGTGAAGAATGGGATCAGATGACTGGAATAACGTGTTGAAGTCATTCAGACGGTGCAATTGGTAACTTAAGAATTCTAACTGTACTTGTTGGAGAGACCTTTTAGGATTGATTCGGTGGTGTAGGAAGGGTCTTTCGTTTCATTTACTACAGATGTGAAAAAAAGGCGGAGAGCGTCCCATTGCTCGAGTACCCTTCTCACACACGCTTCCAAAGATAACCATCTGGTTTGACCGATTCCCAGAAGCTTGTGTGGCTCAGCCTTGACAAATTCTTGGAACTCTTGAAATTCTTTCTGTCTCAGGCTCGATCTGCTAAAGTAAGAATAAATATTCCTACACAAGTCTTCCAACGTCATTGACATTTTCAGGCAAGCATAAGATGCACACATATGGATCATGTGACAGCTACATTTCATGGCAAAGACATATGGAGCATCTTTCTTCAGCAGTGCGACAACACTTTGGTTCTCACCAAACATGACATTTGTATTGTCCGAAGAATATCCAACAATGTTCGTGATTGGGATTTTCTTTTCTTCGAACAAACTTTTAATCACGCCATAGAGGCCAGCAGCGGTTGCTTGTTCTACTTCCACCATGTCGAAGAACCTTGATACTGGCTGCACTCTTTGTTGGTCAAAGTAAACCACACAGATCCCCAACTGCTTTTCTGTGGTTACGTCGGTCATTTCATCGGGACTTATGCTGAAGTAGGTTTCACGTAGCTTCTGTACAAGGTCCTGGGAAAAATACAGTCCAAGGCCTTGCCTCAAAATATTGGTGCAACGGGTAGTTGACAAGTGAATATTTTTTTAGTACCTCAACTTCGCTGGTATTAACAGGTGCTGTTGACTTCAACAAAAGTCCATTAATGATTGTGTTCTGCAAGGACGGCACATACCCGGCTTTCGACCATTTCCTTGTACAAGCTATTCCCCTCTTGCCGACGAATACATTGAATGAGATTTTCTTGTTTTTGACCTGATGACCAAGATTTCGATTTTGCCCTTTTGTAGATTTCGGATTCTGCATGCCTCTGAAGCAAGGTTTTGCTGCAAGTAATGGCATAGTTTACATGTAGCGCTCGAATGTCCGGGAGAAGGGCAAACCACTCTTTAACATTTCATCTAACCAATCTTTAAAATTTGGATCCTCCAACCACTGGTGTCTAAATTGTTGGCTGTATCGGGTTTTTTTTTTATTCTGGTTTTGCTGATGGATTTACATCCGATAAAACCTCCGGCTCAGAAGATGATAAGTCACTCATTCTATCCCAAACTATTTTTGATTATTTCGACTTGTTTTAAAACATGAGGTGAAAGAACGGGATTGCAGGGTTCTTACAAGGATAAACAAGTCATTTAAGGAATTTTGGGAATATCTGAGGAATTTTGGAGCTCACGCTAAGGAATTTTAAAATTTCGTTGTGAGAGCACTGTGAAAGTTAGAAAAATATAAAATTATTACTTTGCCAGGAAAATATATAAGAATACCATTAGGTAGAATTTTTTCTTTTCTGGCTGTCACGTGAGTCACAAAAAGTAAATGGGTATATCTGAGGCTGTGAGTACAATTATCAGGAATTAAATGAATCATCGTGAATATCTCCCTAGGGTTTTTTTTGCCTGAAGTGAGTTTAGGTTTTGCTAAATCAGACGTGGCAGAAACATGCATTTAAATCCTAAAATTTTGTGACTTTGTCATGTGAGTCACGGTAAAATGGCTGATTTTCAAATCATCTTTATTGATAACAGAAGCTGCTGATCTTGGAAAAAGAAGTGGGTGAACAAGATCTTTGTGTTTCTTCAGGAAGTCAACAAGACCAAACTCATTCATTCCATCAGCCAGATCTTGTAATTCGGATTTTCAACGGGTTATGACACTATGTAACACAAATGTTCCAACCCTCCCGATTTGATCAGGAGGCTCCCGATTTCTTGGCAAATCTCCTGATTTATATTTAAACCTCCCGATTTTACGAATGAAAAGGAAAAATGTTACTTTTTCTAAAAGAATCCTTGTAAAAGCTGTTCGCATATGGTAAAAACGGTTGTCGGATCGTCAAAAAAGCAGTATTTCGCCAAGAGGGGTGTTTTGTACAACAAAGTTTCATAACATTTTGCATTAAAGGCGGAAATTTACAGTTGTTGTATTCACGAGTCTTGGAATCAAGAAATGGCGCTTCTGAAAGAAAGTTTAAATTTTCTAAATTTTCTACCCAGTCACACTAGAGGTCAACATTTTCTAGCCTTTACCAGACCTCCCGATTTTTGGAGATGTCAAGTTGAAACGTCTGGTAACATGATCTGTTCGCCAATGACGTGTCGATTAGTATCAGAGAGCGATGTATCCAATATTGAAGCTTCATCTCTATACTGAGTTAGAAAATCCTTCAATGCAATTCCTGGAGCTTCATCTTTACAAAGACTGTTCAACTATAAAACATAATATAAAATAGAAGAATTGAAGTGAAGGTGGATGTACCACAGAATATCATAGTACCACAAATACCAGTTTTTTTATTACTCTTATAAAATGTGAAGGAAACATGCTATATACTTTATTTTTGTGACTATATATTAGTTTTAGTCTCCATGGTCATATAAAAACGAAATAGAAATAATCAGGATAAACAACAAATAAAATAACTTATTTTTGGTACTTTTATTCTGCTTAATTTAATTAACGCCCATAAAATCAGAAAGTTTGAAAATAAGTTTGCAAACCAACATGATTTGCATTCATCAACAGTTTTTCTAAGTGATACAACATTTTTACTATTCAGGAATCTGAGTAATCAAATTTACTATAAAAAACTCAATTTTTCAAAATTATTGGTAAACCTAATATACTGTGGTACATACCACCAGTATTCTGTAGTGATTTTAGTATTTACCTTCCACTAAATTAAGTTAGCAATATCTATACAGTGTTATCACACAACATGACACACCAAATCCTCGTACAATTTGATAAACTGTTCCTTACGTATTGCCGCATTGGTATTCTGTGGTACATTAGGTATTCTGTGGTACACAGAATGTCTGATTTAAAAAATAGAATCTGCCAAATCTAACCCCAAGACCCCCACAGGAAGAAAAAATAATGAAAAACTATACTAAAAAAAAATTTAACAGGCTATGTTATATGCATTTGACAAAAGATATGGAACTTGTAAATTTGTGTGGTATTCTGTGGTACATACACCTGTACATGTACTAGTAAACATATTGAATGGCAATTACTTGTCCAGACCTAATGAAAACTCTTTACACACCTCATTCAAGGCAATTCTTAAGTCAATATCAGGTATGTCAGCAACTTCTATTAAAGGAATCTCATCGGTGTCAGATACCAAATAATGAATGACTACTTTAGAAATGCCAAATACTGCTGGTCCTGCATGGGGGAAAGAATGTGCAATCATCCTTCCACTGGACTTGTAGAAGCCTGTATTTGTAGAAGCCTGTACTTCAGAGACGTGAATTTGCAACAGGAATTTTGTGATCATTTTCGTCTTCAAAAACGAGAGTTGGGGGCTTATCCTCACCATCCAGTGGAAAGCCATCAACAAGCATCTTCATAACCAAGCTGAAAAATTCTCGCACAGGACCACTGCCAACTGAAGTTTCATTTTCACACCGAACCACGAACAAAACTTACTACTTTGATTCTTGTAAATTCCCAAAACATCATTGGCAAAGTCACTTGACATGCGATTGACATAGACTCTAAAAACTGCGCTTTCACTGACAATTGTGGCATCTCGATAATCTTGAATAGCTGTCTTCTTTGCTTCTAAAAGAGAAATAAATTAAAAGTATTATTGTGCCAACACAATACAGCAAAGAGCAGGGATGGATTTACTGGGAGGATGCAGACTCCCTAGCCTTGGTCAGAGGGGGTGTGCATGGATTTGGCAGGGTATTTTTCAAACAAAAATGCAATATTGGACCATTGGAGGCGGGGGGGGGGGCTCTTTCACCATCCAGGAAATTATATTTTTCAAAATTTTTCTCAATGATAGCCCCTGCCAGCCGTCTCAGTTGGGGCGTAAATTTTTTTTTGGGGGGAGAGGGGGCCAAAAATTAATCCAGATGATCTCCATCTGATCTCATATCATACATTTTAGACTAGAGGAACTGACTAGAAGCACATGCATGCAGCAAACCCCTCACATTTTTAAACCAAATGACAGCATAGTTCCAAAAATTTCAACATTTTTCGACATTATTATTATGAGATAAGATCTCATAATACGTCTTTTCATAAGATTACTTAATTAATTGCAAGATGTGCATGTTTACATTAAGTGTCTTAGCAGACGTTGATGCAATATTTCGCTGTTGCAGAATTGATAATATAATCAGTCTCACTTTCAGGTCTGATTTTCAGGTCTCATTTTCATTGGTCTCATTTTCAGGGCAGCCCTCCCAGTCAAAACGAATATGTATGCCCCTGTTCCCTAGGTGTTTTGTGGCTTCGCCACTCATTGCTTGCCCTGCCCCCCAATATTAGACCTTGGCTATGCCACTGATGACCAGCTCCCATTTACAGTGGACTGGATCCATCCCCCTGGCAAAAAGCACACATTTATTTCTTAATACCTTCTGAATTTGGTTGCAAATGGATCACAGTTGCCAGAGGAAGATTCCAAATCTCTGACTCAGAATCAGAGCTACTATCAGCAACATAGGTAGGCATCTCATCTTCAGATAATTTTCCCTGGGCTAAATAAGTTAATCAGTTCAGATCTATTTTTCATTTGAGGAACTGTTATTAATCATAGTCATTTGATGAGAACGAGGTGGCCACCCTCCCCCACCGATCCTCAGACAAAGTACTTACTATTATCTAACAATGTTGAAGCTGCTGCTTCAATGTTGCCCCCACAATCTTTTAAAGCTTTTTCAATGTCAACACTAGGTAGGTCAGGGAACAATTGGTGTAAATTTGATATTTGAGTACTATCAGAACTGCATGCCTGATAAAAAGAAATTTTCTGTTAGAGTTAAAAATATGTCAGTGATATCATCTGAATACTATAAATACTATTACATATATACAGTACATAAATCAGAGTGCATTATGTCAATGAAACATATACTTATTAGTCAGTTAAAGAGAAATTTTGAGATTAATTAACCCTTTGAAACTGGGAATGCACCCTCATGTGCCCTACTTTAGTATTTTACTCTGTCTAATGCCAGACGATTTTACTTGTCAAGTGCAGAGTGCTGCTACTCAATGGCTTAATGGTGGTAATTGGCTCACAATTCATGAGAGCAAGGCTCCCAGGCAAAATGACATAATTTATCGAAAGGGTGTGTTGTAAGTAGTATTGTATTAAACTTATGAATGTTCACTTCTCTGAACATCCAATTCCAAGGCAGATGAATCCAGATCTGCTTGAACTGGTCTTATGTATGCAATTGTCTGCCCTAGGCCAGAACTATCTCGAAGAAATTGGACAGAATATCCAGAATTTGATGGAGGGGTAAGGAGATACAAATCTTTGGCCAAAAAGTATTTATTTATTTAAAATTGATATCGTGCTATTATAACAATATAATTATATAGTCCCCTAACATTGAAGATTTACTGTGATTTCATCTAGTTTACTTTACTATACTAATTAGCCATTGTGAATATGTTAAATGGATCTTTAATGTGAATATATGACCCGTTTTATGCTAGAGATGGTTTGGGACACTGGGGATAGTTTATATGGCGCAGGTCGCGAGATTCTGTAAATAGATTTACAAGTAATTAACTATTTCTTAAAATCTCAATACCACCACCAGGTACCAGCTGGGGGTACACCTCTTCTAATTTTGCTTTCACACTAATTGCAGTTGAATATTTGTGGAAAGAAATAAGTCTACGGCCTAGACCAGCCTTTTGTAATTTCATTTTTTCCATCCAAGTAGGCACACAAAATCTGTTTTTGGAATAACAAAACGGAGAATCGTCAACAGAAAATGCAGATTATGAAGTACAAAATGTGCGATTGTAAACTCAAAATATAACAATTAATTTTGGCGGAGATCACCCTCCATAATCAAAAAGGGGGTAATTCTGTGTGAGCAATAAAGCAGGTCAAAATGTTGCTAACTTTGAATGGTCAAAATGTTGCTAACTTTGTTCGCGAGCATTTTCCGTGTTTGTTTTCTGCCTGTTCGAACCCCAAGGGTAAATTATTTCTTCAAGATGGAGACCCATCTCAAAACAGCAAGAAAGCTAACGATTCTAGACACAGTGTAGGAGCCCGCAAGTTTAGCATCCCACCAAGAAGTCCAGATATTAATCCAATCGCGAATATTTTTCACCTAGTGAAACGAAAACTGAATTTGGATGCCATGGAAAAGAATACAGTGCACGAAAATTTCAAAACGTTTACGGAAAGAGTCAATAAAACTATGGAAAATTTCCCAACAGATATCACTGACAAAACGATTGAATCTATGGACAAAAGCATTGGTTTAATAATCAGTCCAAGGGACAGTGAACAAAATATTAACCACTTAAAAATATTGCATCACATAGACTTAGTGATAACTAACTATATTAACAAAATACTTGATGTGAAGCGTTACCACTGAACATGTGCTACCATTGGCGTTACCCTCAAGTAATTCTTCTATATGACTTTTCTATTACGTGTTACCATATACGTTACCATGAAATAATTGTTTTATATAGCTTTTCTGTTACTAAAACAATGTGTTACCACATGCGTAACCATGAATTAATTGTTTCTATTTAGGTATTTAATTAATATAAATAAATAAATTTAATCACTTATAATGCACTTTTTACATGAAAATGATCAAGAGCGCAGTACAGTATCTATAACTAAGAATGTATACATTCACAAACAAATATTACAAATATATTAAAATATTAATGTATATTGATCATATACGCGGAGGTAAAAAGATATGTTTTTAATTTAGCTTTAAAACAGGATATTGAGACAGTGTCACGTAGACTTGCAGGAAGAGAGTTCCAAAGCTTGGGTGCTGCCACACTAAAAGAGCAATCACCAAAACTACTAAGCATCCGTCCCTTGGGATAGTTCAGAACAATACTTAAGCTTGAACGCAGAGAATAACATGTGTGCTGCCTAACATGAAGTAGTCTACTAATATAATCTGGTGTCATGCCATGTATAGCTTTAAAAGTTAAAAGTAAAATCTTAAATTGTATCCTATATTTAACTGGTAGCCAGTGCAGTTTCCGCAATACGGGCATATTGTTATCATACTTCCTGGTTGACGTTAAAAGCCTAGCAGCAGCATTCTGCACTCGTTGAACTTTTTTAACTCACAATCCGGTAGTCTGTATAAAAGGCTATTGCAGTAGTCAATCCTGTTTGTGACAAATGCATGAATGACCATCTCTAACTTGTCTCTCGGTAAGAAACTACTAACACGTTTAATGTTGTGCAGCCAGAAAAATGCTGATCCACAAGACTTTGTCACATGAACTGACATCGATAAATTAACCACGAGCCAAGGTTGCGTGTGGACGTAACAGGCTGAACGTTAGCTTCTCCTACGCGAATATAACACTGATCAATTTTCTCCAGTTGCTGTCTGGAACCAATAATTAGAAATTCAGTCTTATCATCATTGGTCATGAGCTTATCCTGCAGCATCCACTGTCTTAATTCAGCAATGCAATTTTCCATAGCACACACAGCTGCAGCTTGATTCATAGAGCTATCAGGCTTGAATGACAAATATAGCTGAGTGTCATCAGCAAAGCCATGAGCATCCGGAAGGTGTGTACGAACAATCTCAAACAACTTTGATGCATACATTATGAAGAGAAGAAGACCTAAACATGACCCCTGCGGCACCCCACACTTCAGGTCAAAGCTGTCAGATTTCGCACCATTCAAAGAAATGTGTTGACTTCTCCCGGATAAGTAAGATCTATACCAGTCAAGAACTGTTCCATGAATACCAAAATCAGTATTCAAACGCTTGAGCAAAATCACATGGTCAACTGTGTCAAATGCTGAACTTAAGTCGAGCAGAACTAACAATGTGACGCGCTGAGAATTCATATTCAATAATATGTCATTGGTAACTCTTAATAAGGCCGTTTCGGTGCTGTGATATTTACGGTACGCCGATTGGAAAAGACGATAAAGTCCTGACCGTTGCAAGTGATCATGAGTCTGATTAAAAACAGCACGCTCCAACAGTTTTGAAACAAATGCCAAATTACTAGTCGGACGTAAGTTCTTAAACACCAGTTCCAAACCAAATTTCTTAAGTAATGGAAGAACAACAGCTTCTTTAGAATCCCTAGGGAAATAGCCAGACTCCAGAGACACATTGATAACTTTAGTAATCACAGGCAACAATGTATCAATACACTTCAATAGTAAGGTTGTTGGTATCGGATCCAAGGAACACGAAGTCACTTTAGAGCCGGTAATTAGTGCACGGACATCGTCCTCAGATAATGAAACGAAGGAGCCATATGAGGGTACCACATTACATGTTTCAGTTGCAAAATCTTGTGGAACAACATTGTCCAACTCATCCCGGATGCTAGAAGTTTTTTGAACAAAAAAAATTCCAATATCATTAGCCAAAACTGTTTCGTCACATTAACCACAAAACGATAACTTCTCTTTCTCAACTAATAGGTTTTTAAGAGCTTTGAAAAGCTTGCCCTGGTCGTCACTATTTTTGTCAATAAAGGCAGTGAGAAAAAATGACTTGGCCATTTTCAGCAAATATGTGACACGATTTCTTCGTTTCTTAAACAGCCTGACATCAGAATCAGCCACAGAAGATCTCCATTTTCGTTCTGCACGTCTGCGTTCTATCTTAGCTTTAAGAATTTCTTCAGTGTACCACAGTACCTTGGGTCTAACAGTGACTGTGTTGGTCTTAACTGGGGCATAACGGTCCAAAAGGGCAGATAGTGTGGTGTTGTAAGAACTGACCAGGGTATCAATTTCCGTTGGGGGGGTCTTGACACAATACAGAATTAGAAAGATCTCGAATAAATGATGGTATATCCATAGCTTTCGTTTTCCGGAATGATACTTCCTTTCTTAAAAACTGCGACTTTGATACATTTAGGTCAAATATAATGGAACTTGGTCTGGGTGGATGACACAATATGGAATTAACTTCACTTAACATTAACTTAACAAAACTCCACAAATTCCGGTGCTTGTGGTTACAGGATGTTTAGCTGAATACGGGGGCCTATAAATTAGAACCAGCCGTATCCTAAATAAAGCCAGAGACAATAGTCCAATCAGAGTATTCAAACAAATTCATAATACCAGTCATCCACTTTTTTACCTGAAGTGTATCACACACTAAAATAGCCGTCCCTCCACCGATTCTGTTAGGGCGTGGGAGTTCAAAAGAGAATAACCAGTAGGTGTAGCATCAATCCTAGCTGCCATGTCAACAGACTTCAGTCATGTTTCAGTAAGAACTGCAATATTAACCTCAGATTCGTAAATATAATCAGCAAATTCAGCGCCTTTGTTTCTTAGTGACTGGATATTCAGCAAACAACATTTCAGAAACTGTCCTTTATTGTTATAAACAATAGTGGGTGCTGTCAATGGAACTTGAATTAAATTTGAATAATCATAACAATTCACCCTTCACTTGCAATCAATATAACCACGAGTTACCATGAACTTTCTATGGAAAACATATAGTAATATGTCTTGAAAAGGATGGTAACACGTTACCACTTGTTAAGTTGATATAATAACTATATGAGATTTATGGTAACATGTGTGGTAATGCGTGGTAAATCATTGCTAGCATACTTGTCTTGTGGTAATAAGCTGTTAGAAATTTAGTTTTATTGTAGAATATAGTCAAATATCATCTACCAATAATGCTAATTCAGCAAAGCATCATGCGCATGGAGAGACTTGCTTTTGTTCACTTTCTGGAATCTGGTGGTTGAATTCAATCACTTTCCATCTGATGGCCATAATTTCGGTCTTCCGCTCATCTGAAGAGTTGAACTTACCCATGTAGGCAATTTGGGATTCGCTTGTTGCAAAAATTGGCGTATCTTTCTCTATAATGACATCAGACGAAAACTGGTTCTTTGGTGCCAGCAACTTCACAGTTTCTCTTTCCAACAAAAGTAGCAAATCATTCCAGGGTATCATTTCACGACTCCACCGAAAATCTTGCAAAACAATGGCTTCAGCATAATCAGCACCAACCCATGCATATTTGTCATTGACAGGCTTTGAAAAACATAAATGGATGCTAAGGGTTTGAACATGAAGGTTTTCCCACAATTTGCCGGACCGATAATCATTAGGTTTGTGAATTTTCCCCGTCCGTTCCTCAGAAGATCGCACATTGCAGCTGCATAAACAAAGGGATGTAATTTGTTGTTTCTTAGAACCTCAATGGCACATCTCAACCAGAGTCGGTCACAACCTGGAGAACAATCATTACTCTTAATTATTTTTCACAGAGAATATCCCTTCTTGATTTCTTTTCCCATTGAAGATTATCGTTAGCTGTTTGCATTTTCCATGTTTTATCAATTAGTTCATTCAGAACCTTTGATGACTTTGATAGAATAAAATTGGCCAGATCTATCTGACCCTCATCTTTTCTTTCTTTGGCAGCGGCAAATAATTCTGTGTCTCTCTTTATACCATGTTTGACTAAAAAGTCAGAAACATCCACGTTTGTCAATCTCCTTGGTTTCGATAACTTTTGTTTAGAAGGCACTGTATCATCCTCTTCCAATTTGTGTGCCCTTTTTCTCGACTCTCTATCTGCCTTGCTGGAATTCTTTGTTTTCTGTGATCCAACCTCACTCAGATCAGGATGACCTATGCTGAGAACCACTTGATCATCCATTTTACACACATACCTGTACGTGGCTATGTATGCGGCTAGTTGTCGTGATTGTCTGAGAAGTGGACAGTTAAGTCGTGTTTCTTAGTGATGGCATTTTCAATCTTTAACCACTTCTTTGGGGCAGTTAGGAAGGAAGCATGATAATGTACCCCTTTGTCTTGGTGTTCTTCAAGACAACAAGCCCAGTGACTCACCTTGGCCTTTCCAGGACCGGCGTTGAATTACTCTTCGAGCATCATCTGAGCGAAACTTTCATGGCTGGGAAATTTGATTAAAATCAGCTTGAGAATAGGTTACTAGATAGGTACAACACCCACTACACAGGTTTGTAAGTTGGTTTGATTGAAAATCATCCATAGTAGAGTATAAGTTGTGGAGTATATCAAATCTCATAACCGTTACATAAGATTTAAATTTGGTGCGAAAACAGGTAGCCCGTGCATATAAATTCTTTGAACTTTGAAGTTTGTTTACATGTTGGCTTTGTGCTTAATTTACATGATATTTTAAAATACAAAACTCTTGATCTGTTAAGTATTGGGGGTCGCTGATCATTGAGATGTCTATTGTCTATGATCTAAGGATAAAAACAGTTGTGGCGGAACGAGAGATGCCTAAGGTATGGATTGTAACTTCATTTAACAAACTATCGCATATAATACATGCATGTCGACTTATACACTATTTCAAACACTCATTAATAATTCATAAGCTATTGGCAAATCATGTCAACCATAATATGTCACATGCAGTGGCTTTAAACCTCATAAAACACTCTGTTGTAGTCGTGACCTCATTAGTATTATTTATATAAAGAATACTAATAAGGCAGTATACCTCTATTGAATTTGTAGTCGTGTTTGAAGCCGTTTAATAAACTCGCAGGTCGTGTTTTATTAGGTCTAAAGCCACTCACGCTGTGCGCTCGTGGCTTTAAACCTAATAAAACACTCCTTGTTGTAGTCGTGACCTCATTAGTATTATTTATATAAAGAATACTAATAAGGCAGTATATCTATTGAATTTGTAGTCGTGTTTGAAGCCGTTTAATAAACTCGCAGGTCGTGTTTTATTAGGTCTAAAGCCACTCACGCTGTACGCTTGTGGCTTTAAACCTAATAAAACACTCCTGCTCGTTTATTAAACAGTACGTAATCCTTAATATGTTATGCAAATGTTATTCATATTTACTACCCAAAACGTGCTGATTAACATAAGCGCTGAAAACGAAAATATTCTCAAATAAACGAATATTCTCAATTTTTTCTAAATTTTCAGACAATCGTCGACAAAATATTTGAGACAAACCCCCATCCCTGATTTCAATGTTGTTTTGTACAAAAATATTGTTTAATTCAAACATTATATTTTAAACGTCAACTGCAAATGGGACAGTTTTGGTTCTAATGTCATGTTATGTTCCATTTTGAAAGATATAGTAGCCTTTCAACATTGAAATAGGGGGAGGGGGGAATGATTTCAAAAGTCTCCATATATTTTGTGGACGATTGCAGGTGTGACCAATGGTAACTAAGTGTGAGGAGTGTGACCCTGTGTGACTGAGTGCGACCAAGCGTGACCAAGTGTAACCAGGCGTGACCAAGTGTAACCAGGTGTGACCAAAGGTAACTAAGTGTGAGGAAGAGTGACCAGGCATGAGAAAGTGTGACTAGGTGTGAGGGGTGTGACTGAGTGTGACCAGGCGTGACCAAGTGTAACCACGTGTGACCAAAGGTTAAGTGTAAGGAAGAGTGACCAGGCGTGAGGAAGTGTGACCAGGTGTGAGGAGTGTGACTGAGTGTGACAAAGTGCAACCAGGTGTGACCAAGTGTAATCAGGTGTGTCCAAGTGTAACCAGGTGTGTCCAATGGTGACTGTAACAAAGTGTAACCAAGTGTGTCCAATGGTGACTGTAACTAAGTGTAAGTGTAACGAGGTGTGTCCAATGGTGACTGTAACTAAGTGTAACCAAGTTTAACCAGGTGTGTCCAATGGTGACTAAGTATAACCAAGTGTAACCAGGTGTGTCCAATGGTGACTGTAACTGAGTGTAAGTAAGTGTAAGCAGGTGTGTCCAAATGTAACCTGGTGTGTCCAATGGTGACTGTAACTAAGTGTAATCAAATGTGATTGAGTGCAACAAAGTGTGACCAAGTGTAAACATTTCCCTTGTGCCAAAAAATTCCCTCTTGTTGCCAACCACACTGGTGCCGCCTACATTTACAAGATTCCTATATCACTAAAGTGAAACTTTTCTAGTCCAAAAGATGCTACAGCAACATACAATGTTTATATAGTACATATAGAACCTCTTTATAAAATCTTAAAAATCACCAACTCTCAACAACCAAGGAGTCATTGTGTTTAATATACTTTTGAAATTTAGGATTCCTTTAAAATGTGCACTAATATAAACTCTCATCCACTGGGGATATCAAAAGGTTGGGTCCTAAAAGGTTACTAGTCAGCTAGAGCACCGCCTTGAATAATTACGTTCATGCTGTCTTGTGTTTACTGTGGTAAGCCCTCCCAAGATGGTCTGCGATAGCAGTCTTTCCAATTCAGTCTGAGAAGTGAGGTAAAATGTCTTCTCTGTGGAGATATCTCAAAATCCACCACCAATGAAACATTGCTTTCGCTACCTGTAAAAAAGTAAAACATTTTTAATCAGTTTTGTTACAATCTATAATACACACTTTTAATTATTCAATTCTTTCCTATTGATTGCTTTTGGTTTTATCTTGCTATGATGAATATGATGTCAGACTTACATTTATACATTTTACAATCTATAACCAAAAGCCTGATATATAATATTATCAAGTAAAAAATCAGAAATTTATTAAAACTGCATTTGACGTTTATTTCAGAAAGTGTGTTTTACTATTCATGTAACTAAGCATGTTTTACTATTCATGCCCATATACTGTAGAATGAGAAGACAGTAATGTAAAAGCACATTTGAATGTTCAATACAATAATTTGTTATCATTGTACATCTTTTATTATCATTGTATGTCTATTTAAATTCCATGTGTAATCTTTGTAAAAGTATTAAAACTTTCAATTACTTTCACAGGGAATCGACTTGAACTCTGCAATGAAAATGTTGAGCGAGCCTGAACATTTGGCAGATGAATATCAATGTGAAAGGTACAAAGCGGCTGTGAATGATACATAAGTATAAGCCAGGAAGTATAATTTAAAATGAAACACAGTACAAATGTCATGTGGTTATTGCATGTGTACCCAAAGAAATGTAGCTACAGAATAGAAACCTGGTCTTTATAGTCACAATGGGAAACTAAACCACAATTGCACGAATAGTCCTAGTCTTTTCTTGTGTTTTCAGAACACCTAGCTAGATTATTATATGTACTTCTCAATTAGTTTTTAAATTCTACTGTCGATGCAATGGAAGTGTTAATAAAATATTGCACCAATTCCTTTCCTCAAGTTGATCAATTCATTTGATAGAAAATTGATCAACTTCCTGTTACTTTTAGATGAGCCAATTAGATTTTGTTTCAGAACCGATTGACCAATAGGAAACGCACAGGAAGTAAAAAGAAATTTGAATTCATATGAATTGATCAACTTGAGGAAATGAATTCATGTAATATTTTATCAACACTTCCATTGCATCAACAGTAAAGTTTATAGTTTTAAGGTGTCTAAAATTTATAAAATGATACTACACAAAGGTACTAATAAAGTTTTGGGTATAGGAGCAGAATGAAAATGGAGGCATACAAACGTATTGTCTTCCAAGAACTCCCTGATGCTTTTTGCATTCAGCTGCTGCGGTTTTCAAACCAGGGAAAGAAAATGAAAACAATTGTTGAATATCCGGAGTCACCCAAAGTGGAACAAGTCATGGAACCTGAAACTGATGACGTGGAAGTGATCTCGGAGGAACAATACCATCTTGTGGCTGTTATTTCCCATCAAGGCAATACCATTACATCTGGTCATTACACGGTATGCGCCCTTCGTAGTGGTGAATGGTTTTACCTTAACAATGCACAAGTGTCGAAGATCTTCGGTCTTACAGCAAGGAATCAAGAGGCATATGTTTTAATGTACGAGAGAGATACCACTAAGAAGAGTAATGCAGCAACCACTACATTGCATTCCCACCCAAACCAATCTTAATTTGGGTCTTCAATTCATATCCGCCAAATTTCTACATAGATTATCCCTCTACCTCATATTCTTTGCCAGAGATATGCTGTACTGAAAAAAGCAAAGAGAAGTTAGTGTATATACCGATTTCTGAATCTCAAGTGAACAAAGCAATACTGAAAGTGTATGAAGACCATATTTTTGCCAATCACTTAAGATTGAAAGGGTACTCTTCAAGTGATCTTTTAAGTCTTCTTCCTGGTACCTGGTTCAATAATTTTGTAATTAATAATTATATGTGGCTTCTCGAAAAGAAATGCAAAGCTCTTGGCAACAATGTAAGGACAATTAATCCCCGAGCCGACGGCGCAAAGCGCCGTGCGAGGGTACTAATTCCCAGTAGTAATAGTAAGAGGTATACCAAAAAAAAAAGGGTGTGTGTGAACCTACTTGATTTAACTGGAGCTTTGAATGGAAAGCGAAAGTATCGCGGGCGTCAAAGGCGACATCCGCTGACTGTACGGACGGGGGGAAAAATTTCAAGGGGGCGTACCCCGATTCGCAAGTGGATGCCTGCCGTGCTTGATTGACAGGTGACGCGCGCACGTCACGTGCGCATGCGTGGGGGAGCTCCGAACCCAAAACCTCGATCGACCGAACTGAGGGTCGTTCGAATTTGCCGCCGTTTTTAAGAGCCAGCACCGTGACGTCACGAGCGGCGTGCTACCACTTGCCGCACGTACGTTATCCGGTGTTTCCAGGAAATATGTGTCTTTTTGGGGTGTTTATCTATCGTGTATTACGTTTTTTCGCTAGTTTTTCCTTATTTTTATATATGTATTGTGTAATATTGTATTTTTTCAATAAACATATGTTATTATTTTAACATATATCGATGTTTGAATAGTGTTTTTTAGTTTTTAAAAAATGCCAGTAACGTTTTTCAACACAACAATCGTAAAGTATAAAGTTTTATTCGCGTAATCAATTTTTATTAATAATATTTACAGTAAAGTATAAAAAGTTATGTGCTAGAGTCACTATCATTTTGTTTTTTTAATAACGTAGACAGTACGTATTCTGCAGCGTTAATTTTCTCTAACAGTTCGCGTTTCTCTTGAATGTCTTGCAGTGCTTTAGTACGCGTATCGGCAAATAGCTCGTATGTTTGGTATTCACGCATTGTGTTGACAACGATATCGTTTGGCAGTTTTGTCAAAATTTTCCTTGATTTCTTGCATTTACCTCGCGTATCGGGTAGGGTTAGCTGCCGACGTGTTAGCTGTAGGGCTTGCAAGTCGTTAAAATCCTCGTCCATGCAAACGAGTTGCTGATCGGTGGTTGGATACCGCATTCGCGTTTTCGTTTCTTTGCCGGGGTTTTTGTTGTTTTCTTTGGTGCTAAAACCGCTTCTGTTTCTTCTTCGTCAAATTTTTCCCGTGCCGCCACAATATCTTTTCCTTTATGAATTATCGTCTTCGTGAATACTTGTGGGATTTGTTCTTCTTCTTGGGTAGCCATGAAATCGCCGAGGTATGTGTTAAGTGCTGTAAATGGGTCGTCGTCGGTTGTTGTATTGAAATCGATAGATTCGCCAGTGTCAACGCTGCTGCTGACGCATTTCTCTTCAATGACAACCGGTCTCAGGGGGTTCTTGCCGGTTTTGTTGCGTTTTAAGTGTGGACGAATTGAATTTCCCTTCGGCACAGTTAACATGTTTCTTTAGTTTTTGAAGTTTAAGAGGTAGTGAAAGCGGTTGTGGTGTTAGAATTCTAGTAGGGCTGTTCGGTTTTAATGGCGTCGAAGGTTTCGGCGAACGTATTTGCCGTGGCGGTGTTTGATATACTGGCGTGTTGTGGTGAGGTTGGGTTGTTGGGTTTTTCTTAGTCAGCTGCCATTTGATGAAATTCAACTCGTAAATATTATCGGGAAATTGTTGTGCGTAGGCCGTAAAACACCAATAATCTGCAAGTAATGGGGTAAGATCTGTCTGGTCGGTGACGATTACCCCCAACAGCTCGAGAAATTTGTAGAAATTTGGATCCATTTTTTCTAGTAGAAGTTGAATTTACTGTTTCGTTTACAAGCGGTTGTAGTGAAATGTACCAAAATTATAGTTGTAAGGTCTCAAGTACAAAACCCCATGTCTGAATATGGACAGGGTGTTTTTAGCGTGTTGCCCATATTTGGGCATAGTAGTTATGACTACTGTAAAGATGTTTATATCTGTTTGTGTGTGGTGGTCCATATTAGGGTGTGTCGATTAAAAGATGTTTATGTGTGTTTATTAACGTGTAGCAACAGTGAAAGGAAAGGTCTGCGTCTATATATGGGTATGACCATATATGTATACGTTAGTTTAGTGTTTTATATGTTGTGATGAGGGTTCTTATAACAGCGTTTTTAAATAGTTTATGTTATATATTTCAAAGTGAAATGAGTTTTGGTTGTAAACTTTTATTAACATTGTTACTGGTAACGACCGTATTGTATTTATTTACAATTTATTATTCAAATATATCTATAAAAGATATAGAAGAGGTGTTGGGTGAAACATATAGCTGTACAGATGAATATGTCGAGGTATGACCGCTATTGTGAAAATTTATTTCATCAGTTAAAGAGTCATGATCGCAACTCTATCGATATCTATCATGCGGGTTATGTTTTTAATAATGTTTGCGCGTATGTTAGTCGCAGTATTGATGGGGGTCGATGTTATATGAGGGTCGTATACCTAAATCACCGTTGTCTTATAAGAGAATCATTATTGGATTTAAGTTACAATTATCAGGACAGATCCGGCCATTATGAAATACAGTTTTGTTTTCCTGACTTCTACGGTGGCTTATGTGGTATTTTTCATGAAGAATGTTACGAAGCTGTGAGGCAGTTGAATAGGGAAGCGGCTATGTGTAGTATTGAACAAATTGCTGTAAACATTGCAGAACGTTGTCCTGGTGTAATAGTTAGTCAAGATTTAATAAAACGACAAGTGGAATATTATAAGAGCGGGGGTTTAGTTCTTTTAGAATTGGATCATAGGGGTAGAGCTGTGTTACAATATTAGCATTTTTTTTTTTTTATCGTTGTAGTGCGGATGAAATAAACGATGCTATTGTTGTACAGTTACCCTGTGATACAGTTCTTGATGACGAACCGCTGTCGGTATTACAGACTATAGCTAGCGATTATAAGTTTTTTGATTTTTATCTACGCGTGGGTCGAGAACAAGGAATACAGTTAGCAGGTGGTCGGTTATGGCCGACAATAATTGTAGACGGTGTTATGCGAACCATACCCAGTTTTTACATTTATCTTATAGCTGTGACAAAGTGTGATAACGGCGATCGGTATATTACTATTGGTGTCGTACACTGGTTGTTTGGGATCTATGCCAAATTGGATATCGATTATCGTATTTATCCCGAAACGTTTAAAGCCAAACGCTTATCTGTTACACCGATATATTTACCCACGGTGACATTTAATAGTACAGAATTTAATATCGATTATGGGAATGATCGTGATTATGATGATGAAGGAAGAAGATCGTTGACAATTAACGAAGCACGAGATTATGTTAGCGGAACAGTAGATACTTTAATCACATACATTAATGAAAATTATCAGACAGATTGTCTCTCTTTGGCTACAGATTTTGAAAAGGAGCACGGGATAGCTGTGTCAAAACGTTTGGCGCAAATTTTGATTTATCATCAAAAATTGGTCCACATAGTACAGGATTGGGTAATTAAAAATTGTGGCTGTACGCGAAACGATCAGATTTGTCATTGCGTCTGTATACTCGTCGTGATGTAATCAAATGTAGACAATTGTACTTTCAAGACGCCGGATTATTGGTCAGCAATGAGGTGTATTTTACCACCCCGAGATGAGTACGGCTGGATATTACATTGCTATTTGGAGGAACGTAAATTTAGAAACCCTCCCGTTTTACGACATACGAACACGACATTATATGCCTATGAACAAGTATACCCCAATGTCCAGTATTGGTTGTATATGACGGAAATGCATAGAGCACATCACGGTTATATGTATAGATTAACATTTCAAACATTAGACGGTTTTGCACATATACATATTTCATACGATGTAAAATATCTCCCGACTATGAATAGTCATGGACATGTAATGTATGATATGATGGGTGTTCAATGTTTAGGTGTTCAAAGATGTACAGAATCTGTGGTTCTTAATGAATTTTTAAATACTACATATTTAGCGACGGTAGAAAATATTATGAAATATATTAGAGAAAATATTACATTCTTATTTAGAATGACGGACGATCATATTCATAGGTTGCGGTTAGATATAGCTAGGGTATATAAAACCGTAGTGTCGCCGTATTTTATATATGGTTTTCAGCATATAGTAATGGAAATGTTAAAAAATATGTATTGGTTAGATACCCAGAACTGTTTGTGTTTGACGATCAACAATTGTTGTATATGTAATAAGACAAATTTGCATTTTTTAAGGTTACATTGTGAACATATATTGATCGAGTTAGTGAGAAAAATAAAAAGAGTTTGAAATGAAAAGTGTTTGTTAGTTGTGTATTCATATTCGGCTATGGAGGGGTTATTTCAAAGAAAACATAATCAGATGTCTTACGAGGAAAGGGGTATGGTTGAGAAAAACAAAAAAGAAATAGCATCGCGTATTACGCACGTGATTGATTGCGAGGCATATATGAATAAAAAAAAGACATTTCTTCGCGAAATATCGGTTTATAGAGTAAAAACCGGCGAGTGTGCGTCGTTTCAAGTGTATACACCGTTTGTACCCTTTAATGAACACTGCTATACAATTGATTATCAGATAAAGAAAATTCACGGCTTACCGATTGTCCGTAAACGTTTAACGGGAGATTTTTATACACTAAAAGAATCGATGGCGTTTTTAACAGATGAATTTATGTGTAACGCCGATTTAGTGGGCTATAAAGACGGCGATATTGAACGTAATTTGTTAAATAATATGGGTGTGCGTTGTATTAATCTTGAAGTATTGACATGTCCAAAGTATGCCGACCTATTGACCATATTTGGTCAATCGCAAGAATGTTGTCCCTATCACCTGGGTAACCATTATCATTGTTCAAAACATGAAGTAAAAATGTTTGCACATTTTGTGTATTTTATTTTGTAAGGATGGCAATGCTCGAAGCATTATCGTATCTTCTACTAAAACAACCTTATAATCCAACATTGTGGAATTTGTATTCCACATGTACATATTTACGATTTTATAAACCGCTAATGGTTAAAGAACGCAAAATTAATCATTATTCTGAGGTTAAAGGGGGATGTTGGTTGAAAGGCGGTTTTGAGACGATACGCGATTTTATAGCTGTGGACGATGTAAAAGAGGATGATGAAAAAGTGAAGAGCGACAATCCCGCCACGCCTGATTTGGTGTGGGAGAAAAACCCACGCATGGGCGTTGACGAAGACGGCGGCAAGAAAATATATAATATACCCGTGGAATGGATTCCGCAATTGGGTGTTCGCGAAGGTTTGTTCGTGCTATTTCCTTATCCGTTTTGCTGTCGTGAAGTATTAGTACATTCAAAAACACAGCTGGTACATTGTCAGTCTTTAAATATGCCCCGTGACTATTATGTAGACAAACATTATTTTCACGTTGGTTCGGGAGATTGCGACGAAGATAGTTCGGAGATCGAAGTGTTTGCCGGCACGCAGTTGTATGTGGGGTTGATGACCATGATGAAACATTTCAAGACCAACCTATACGTAAATATGGGTGAAATGTTGACCGCTCTCGATAGTAATGAGAAAGTGTTACAGTATTATCGTAAGGAAGTCCGCAGCGAAGAAAACGAAAATGGCGAAGTCGCAGTAACTGTAATATATCATGTAGAAAAGAAGATAGCTATGGCTATTCGTAAGTATTTAGCACATATATTAGTATGCAAAAAATGTATTAGATATATAGAAGAGTTTTTATCGTTATCAGACCAAAGTGTGGAAGAACACCCATACCCCGCACATAGTGACTTGGATTGTGACGGTTATAATTGTATAGGTTTACCTATTTTACGACATATATTAGATGCTGATTTTGATAGTTTGAGGGATAAAGCTTTTTACGGTGTCGTAGTCGATGTATTTGAGAGTCGTTGTGAACGCGTGGAAGGTTTTATGACATCATACGTTATAAAATATGTGTAAAAACATTATTAGAGAACTGTTTGATAGTATGGTGCAATTAAAAGACGTGTATGTATTAAAATACAAAGCGAGAATAATAGGGTATGCCCGTATAAGGTCATCATATAATTTGCTTCGTTTTGCTCGTTTCTTTAATGTATGTCGTTTAAAACAACGTGATCGCGAGGATTTTATTCATTGTTTAAAGGTTCGGAAATTAACTGTGCGGCAAGACGAGGATATTATTTTGGCAATTGTCACATAATGGCCACATCAACTAAAACACATTATTTGAAACGTTTGCAGAAGAATTAAGAGTTGTAGAAGTTTTGAGAAAAATGTTAGAGAATGAAGAATTGTGCTATTATCGTTACGTGACCGTACCCAACCGCTTGGGTTTAAGAAAGATGGTCGAAAGATGGGGTGTGAAAATATACGCCGTTATACAATATAATCAACGGATGAGTAAGAAAGCTGTTCGCCAGATGTTTTCAAGTGAGCGTATCTATTTGGCTGCCGTGGTCACGGTGAGAAGACCAATTGTATTAATACTGATGCGGTTGTATGTGCTCTGCGAATGTTACAGTGTCAGTTACAGGGACACATGATGTTCCAATACACCGATCGGGTTTGGGGGTCGAAAAACGCAAAACGAAGTAAAATATATGAAACCTTATATTAAAGCATTAACCCTGTATAAGGATTGTGAGAAACGTGATTTTTGTTATAATGATTTAGATGGCGCAAGACAAATCTGTAAATATAAATGTATGTTAGAAACGAAACTGGGAAAACGAAATGACATGACCATATTTGGGCGTTGACATTTTTTAATAGATAGATATATTGTTTGGTTTAAATGTTTTTAAAATCTTTAGTCATGAGGATACTGTCGTTGAAACAGTATCTCTTATTGCGTAGTACAAAATTTAAAATAAAAATGATTTTTTAACACTTGTATTACACCATCAATCAATCTTTCAATGAATATTTGCAGTTTGCATTTATTCACGTATAAACGTGCAAAGTTTAAAACCTGGTGGTATGAGTGACAGGTGAAACAATTTAATAATTTATTATAAGTATGGGTGTGTGACGGGATCAATGTTTAGTAGCTTGTGCGATTGGGTAAAATAGCAAGTAGCGAACGGGGTTGAGACTGAAAAGAACCGGATTTTTTATGAAGTAATATTTTTCTTGTAAGAACACGTCGTATAAACGCATCGGTGAAGCAGATATAAAAAACACGTCGTTGTACGCATCGGTGATAAACAAGACAACAAGATCATAATAAATCAAACAGTTAGAGGTATGTTTTTTTTATTGATGATATTGATAAACTACAGGCAAATGATTAATTGGTTTTCGTACACCACCACCTTCTTGTTTTTTTATAATCCCTGAGCGTTGCGTTCTAACACGTCTCTCTTTTCGACGTGCACGTGTTGCGTGACGTTTTGCTCTTTTGACTTGTCTTGCGGCGTATCTCTTACCGTTTACAACAGCGTCTGTAACGGCTTGTTGTAATATATCGCCAGGATTAAACGTGGTCGAACCACCACGTTGTCTTCTAATTCTGTGTGGTCTTCCCGCATACGAGTTGATACCCGGACTTATTTGCCGATCCCAACTACTTCGCAAAGGCATTTTGTTGTTCGCACACGTAGTTTCTCTACGAAAATATGAATGTTTTTAATAGTTGCAGACGGTTTTATAACCAATATTCGTCACCGTAGTTAACGAAAATTTCAGAATGTGGAGGGATACGTTGTGAGGATTTTAAGCGAAACATTTGATTTCCCCGTATACGGCTATTATAATGAAATTTCGTATTTCTAGCATCATTTGCAAATCTACCCGCGGCATCTGTTGTATGATTTGCGTCGACGCACAACCCGTTTGAATTACATAGGGTATATTTGGCAACACTTTTACCATATTTTCGATCGATTTGTTCACGAGTACGACGTCGTCCTGTGTATTTTGAAATTACACGTCCTGACGGTATGGGTTTTTTCCAACTAAATAACCCTTTTCCCGCATTTTGAATTTGGGAAGGTTTAACGCGTAGATTATCTTGTTTTGCTAAATGTATCCAACATTTTGGCGTATGTGCTGTTCGTTTACGACATCGTTTTTGTAATAATGTATCGCTAATACATTGTTTTGATTTTCGAATACTTTGTTGTAAACGTTTTTTTTAAGTTTGTTACAAAACGGCCACTCATTTTTTTATTTATTCTGCATATACTATAGTTACACCGATATAATCGTCGTGATGTCGTTCGATATATTTTATTATATTTTCAATTTTAGTCACCACATCTGGCGGCACTTGTGAATCAATACGAAACAACGTCAATCTCTGACGTAACGTGTCCGGATCCACCTTATGCAAAAGCTTCCACAAATATGGTAGGTGTAAAAATAATGCATTTGTCATCATCGGTTACTTCATAACCTATTTTGTAAAGTTCACGATCATTTTTGGCCATTTCATTTTTTATATGTACCGAGATGTGTATTTCAAATTTCCCCATTCTTTATTTGGATGTTGCTTGTTCAACACGTGTGATTGAAATGGGTCAAAAATGTTTTAAGGGCGGTGAAGATACGCCGTGGGTGACATTTAATTGTAATATGGTGCAAATTCGTGAAAGTAATAATATCTCGATGGATTTTATAGATGGGTCTGAAGATAACGATAAGGACAACGTAAAGGTCACAAATTGTTGTTGCATCCAATGGCGTTGAAGGGTGGTGGTGAAAAAAACGCTAAAAGACAAAAGAGTAGTGATGGAGGGGTCGTCGATCGGAGAACAATTGAATTGGTGAGAAAATTGTTTAACGAACGAGATAGAGAGAAACGTGAACAAAATATTGAGGAAATTGCTAAAATGGTTGTTGCTAGAAATGATAAACGCTCAAAAATAAGTAAATTAGCTGAAATGGTTAAAAAAACAAAAACGTTGTATAAAGAAAAACGTAATTATAACATAGAGGACCGTGATTTTATAGAATTAGCGGCACTTGTACAATCACATAAAAATGTGAGTGTGCCGAAAAAAGCCTTTTCGGTTCGACAAATACGCACTCATGAACGTTTTGGCTATAACGAATATATATTCGATGTAAATGTGGGTAGTGAGCATATGGGGAGTCTACCCGATTTTTTTGCATTTTTGTAGTTAATCAATACCATGTTGTATTATGCGCAGACGAATACGGATAAGGCAAGGTTTTTTATCTTGAATGCCCCACGCACCCCTTTTTCCACAAGTGTATTATCCGTAACGGATTTTACAACCGATATGTTTTTTAATATTTTTGAGAAACATATGCAAAGTAATGCAGAAGAGATTATAAATAATGGCTGGAATACCACCGTTAGTTTGTACATTTTTCCAAATAATTATGTTTCGCGTAATAAAACGTCACAGGTAAAAAAGAAAAAAAAAAAACAAAGCAAATTGTATAAATATTTCGGTAAAAATACCACAGAATCCGGTAGGGTTAAAAAAATCATGTGGCGTTAAAACACGGTCGGGAAGTCCGACATGGTGTTTTTCAAATCGGCAATTCAAATGTTAAAAATTGTTGTTTAGGTTTAGCACTCTTAGTGGGTAAATCTTATCTACATGACGATTCTGCAGCATACAAACTGAAACGAAACAATAATTTACCTTTAAGCAGCATATATACAGACGGCGCTATTACAAACGTGTATACGGCTAGCGGGCTAACCGCAGGAGTTCCCGTACGTATTAATCAATTACAAGATGTGTATGAAAAATATTTGAAATGTGACGGGATAGATTTAGTTGTCTTTTCCAAACAACAAGCCGACAGTATCGTGTACGATTCCCGATTAGGTCCCGATCAACGTTTACACCGTGTTACGAATGAAGTTATTTTTTTATGGCTAAACGATAACCATTATGATCTAGTGACCTCACCATATACATTTGCACGTTTAAATTTGGGGAAGTTCTGTTTTTCATGCATGCAATATTTCCGTCGGCACGAAACAAAAAGCACACACGTGTGTATCTTGAGTTTGACATGTCATCGTTGCTATAGTAATACCAGCATGTGTGTTCCCGTGCCGGGTTTTGTACAACAGTGTACAATATGCGATGTTATTTTTTACAACCCCGATTGTTTTACCAAACATTTGTTGCAAAGGGTGTTTAAAACATATGTGAAGGGGTCGGTAACAACCAAGACACCATGTCAGCGTTTTTTTTTCTGTGTCGTATGTTATAAAACGGTAATGCGTAAAACAATCACCGCTAGTAAACGGTATACAAAGCATAAATGTGACGAAATGTTCTGCATACATTGTAATAAATTACAAAAGAAAGATCATCATTGTTATATTAAACCGGTTAGAGAGCAAAAAAATGAATCACGCCCGACATTGTACTTTTATGATTTTGAAACACGTGTGAATGAGGGCGATATCTACATGATACCTTTTTATTGCGTCGTTCAAAAAGTCTGCGATGTTTGCGATGAAAAACCGTTTGTGAAAAATTACGAACATTTTCTACCGCACCCGAGCGAACCGTTTGCCGACATCTCTATCGAACCGGTGCTGTGCTGCGGCTATCGACAATACGTGTTTGAAAAAAACAATGAAGATATTGTATCGGATCTGGTTGATTTCATGATGACACAACCAAAGAATAGTGTGTGGGTGGCACATAACGGGGGTCGATTCGATAGTATTTTTTTAATGCGCGAATTATTAGTTCAACGTAAACATGTACCGAATGTTGTAATGAACGGTAGTAAGGTGATGTCTTTAGAGCTGGAAGAACGTAATTTGAAAGTAATTGACAGCTATTTATTTCTTTCCATGAGGTTGGCAAAATTTCCCGAAGCTCTCGGGATTGAAAACGTAACGAAGGGGTATCACCCTTATTTGTTTACGGATTTAAATTATGTTGGCGAGATGGTGGGGTTAGAATATTTTGAATTAGCTCCGGAGGGTAGTAAAGAGCGAAAAGCTTTTGATAAGTGGTATAGACAACAACAGAGTAAGACCTATGTGTTTCGTGAGGCGATATATTATTATTGTCGTCTGGATGTGGATATCTTAAGACAAGGATGCATCATATTCTCCAGGCTTATCTATCGGATTACGGGTGTATTACCCTTTTATGACCGCACGTGTAATACTGTGGCGGGTTTGGCCTTAAAAATATATCGTAAAAATTTTTTAAAAGAGGAACAAATTGGGCAAGTACCCACATGTGGTTATGGGGGTGTGAATATTAATCAAAGCGCAATTGCTTTATGTTGGTTGAAAGAGATTGAAACTACGTTAAGTGAGAATAATCTAGGATTGTGTAGTAAGCTTAGTGTGGGGGGTGAGACATGCATTATGGGGCAGTATGTCGACGGCTATTGTGAAGAGACCAAAACAATTTATCAATTTCACGGTTGTTTTTATCACGGTTGTGAGCGTTGTTACGATGGTGATTGTTACAATAGCGTTTTATCTGCGAAATTTTTTACACTATTGGGTAGTACGCAAAGATTAACGCAAACGTTTCGACAAGCAGGCTATACGGTTGTTGAGAAATGGGAATGCGATTATCGTAACGATGTTGACATGACCCCGTATCGTTTAAAACAATTGCGTCTAACATCATTTTTTGAATTCATCCAATTGGAACCGCGTGATGCACTTTTTGGCGGACGCACATCTCCTGCGGTGCTATATTATGATATGAAACATACCGGGCTTACCCGCAATGTATTTTGACGTATGCTCTCTTTATCCGTATGTACAGAAAAAATTCGAATATCCGACGCAACATCCGGTCATCTTTCGCGGTCGCGCATGTCAAAACATTGACGTAAATCAGGTGTTTGGTTTAATTAAGTGTAAAATTTTACCACCCACACACTTATTGTTCCCCATGTTACCGTTTCGTTCCGAGAAATTAACATTTCCGCTGTGCCGTACGTGTGTACAAAGACAACAGCGTGAAACGTGTGATCACGACGATGAGCAGCGTGCACTATACGGCACGTGGACAAGTATTGAAATTCAGAAAGCTCTACAATTAGATTACCGTATTTTAATTGTCTATGAAATCTATCATTATGAGAAACGTGAAAAAATATTCGATCAATATGTGAACACATTTATAAAACTTAAGCAAGAAAGTAGCGGGGTACCGAAAAAATGTCTAGACCAAGACGGTACGCTGGTAAAAGAAAAGTTGCAAGAGTATATTGATGATTATCTAAAACATGAGGGGGTTGTTTTGGAGGCCAATAAAATGAGTTATAATGCAGGTCAGAGAACGGTTATGAAGGCTTTATTGAATTCTTTGTGGGGTAAATTGGCCCAAAACGAAGATGTTACGGTTGTGTCGTTTTTAGAATGCATGGACGATTTGTTAGAATTAGTAAACGACCGCACTGTAGAAGTGACCTCTTTAGATTTTATTAGCGATAATATCGCAAGAACAACTCATAGAAAAACAGCCAGTCTAACACCACTACCCAACCGTAATGCAATTATTGCGTCGTTCGTCACAGCGTATTCCCATTTGGAATTATTAGAGTATTTGCTTAAATTAGGCTCGAATGTTTTGTATTATGATACGGATTCGGTAATTTTTATCGAGGATCGTGCAAAGGGTAAATATTTAGAAACTGGCGAATATTTGGGGCAAATGACCGACGAGTTAATTGAAAAGAAAACAAGTGCAAAATGGATTGAACAATTTTGTTCGGCAGGGCCAAAATCCTATTCGTATCGTACGAATGTCTATACGCGTTACAATGATGACGGTAGCGAAAGTAAGCAACAAGATGAAATTGTGCATGTCAAGGGTTTTTCATTAAAAGGGGCCGCAAAAAAACTGTTAACATTCGATAGCATTCGAGAGTGTGTGGAAGACCCTTCCACAGAAATTGAGATTACCTATCGGGAATTTGTGCGTGAAAATACTCAGAGTATTTCGGTGCAACAAAATGTGAAAAAATTTAAATTTACCTTTGATAAGCGTGTTGTGCATGAAGATTTTACAACTACACCTTTTAGTTATCGATGATCATATGTTCTTATATATTTTTTTAGAAAAAAACAAACGCCGATTGTGTACACAATGTAACATTACCCTTTCAACACCCGTTCATGATGACAATATGTGGACCGACACAATCGGGTAAAACACATCTAATGGTCGAAATAATAAAAAACATTGACGAACTGATTATACCGACACCTGACAAACTACTGTACTTATACACAGCTGAACAACCCATATATGTCGAAATTACAGACCTTGTTGCTGAGAAACATTCGACGTCCGCACTTAAAGCATGTGAGTTTTACGACTGTACACGATTGGGTGTACCCACGATAGAGGCTATAAGACCGTTGTTGGGTCAACTCACCCTACTAGTTCTCGACGACCTAATGATTTTTGCAATGTCGAGTAAGGAAAATACCGAAAACTTAAATAATTTAGCGACACGCGACAGCCATCATTTAAATCTCTCTGTATTTTTTGTGTGTCAAAATTTAAATTATGGTAATGGGAAATTACGAAATATGCGAGTAAATAGTATGTACCATCTTGTTTTTAATAATCACACTGATACTCGAGATATCGAATTGATAGCGCGAAATAAGGGCATCCGTCTACCGATAATACGAAAAATATTGTCAGACGTGGGTAAAAAACAATACGGTTACGGTTATGGTTGCCCTCATTCGCCAGCCAACGCACGTGTTCGAACGGGCATATTGCCAAATGAATGTACAATAATTTACGATACAGAAAAACAATTTGTATAGAAATATATTTAATAAAAATATAGAAAATTACATGTATTGTTGAAATGCTTCTAAATATGTTTTACAAATTTGCCCCTTACCCTTACTACATTTACGCTTATATATATTAATCATGTTCGGGTATTCTCGATACACTAATTCTTGCAATTTCTTCTCGTTCTCTAAAAGTTCGTCTTGTTTAACAGAAAATATATCGATGATGTCATCGTTGTTATAAAAACTATTTAAAAATAATAAACACCACGCACCACACGTCTTGCTAATATAAGATTGACGGGGTAGCTGCATATAAACAGAATAGTTACAACGTAAGCTACGGAAATAATCAAGCCAGTATTTACGACCAAAAAAACGCGGTGTCTTGCCAAAACTATCAAAAAATACAATATCTTGACGATCTTTGACAACACACACCCAATGCGTGCCGGGTTTATCATCTTCGTCGGTATTCCACACCCAACAACAACGGTCTTTGATATTTTTTGGATAATTATTTGCAGGATAGCAACCCAAATAATACTTTTTAACAACAGCATTTGCACGAGCCAATTTATCAATGTCGTCGGTGTTTAAGAATTTACTTAGAAAACAAGTTAACGACGTCATTATTTAATCCGAAAGATAACCCCTTTTTCTTCTCTTACCGTGCACAATAGGGCGTTTAGGTGTTGTCGCCGGTGTTGTTTTTCCTACAATTTGCGGGAGTCGACGTTGGGTTATAGGTCGTAGGGGGGTGTAATTGCTTTGATTCAAAACAGTTTTGTACTCTTCTTTAATTCTTTTATTTCGAATATATGAAATTGGCATATTAGTCTTTTTTAATAGTAATAATACCCTATGCCGGTTCTTTTCGTTTAGATTGGGTTGTGTTTGGGTGTAGTTTCGTGTTAAATCCTCGATCATATCTTGATAGGATATACCAAGTTGACCGTCTGCAAATTTGATACCCTGGGGTATGGGTTTTACGCCGTTTTTTCGAAAATGTTCTTCGATTTTTGCTGTTGAAGAAGCAACCGTGCCCGGTTTATGAGCCGCACCCGACACACCCGCTGTTACTGGTGCGGCAGCGTTACCGGGGGCCACACCTTTATCTTCTTCGGTTTGATCAAGACCCGCAGATTTTCGATAACTTTCAGTTTTTCTTAAAAAATTAATGATGTCATTGCCTGCCGTGGAAGTATTATTTTTAACAGATTTTTTAACTTCCTGACGACTTTCAATAAGGCCAGCCTCTTCGGCGCTACGTTTGGCGTTGTTCAACAATTCGTCTCGAGTTATTTTTAGCAAGCATGTCCATTAGGTTGTTGAATTTATTCGCGTCTATCAGCGCTAACCGTTTGACTTTGTCGCCCATTTTTTTGCGGATGATTTTTTTTGATCGACTGCAGTTGTGTAATGGCTTTCCGAATATAACCGTGAATGCGCATATTTTCTACAAACATAAATTTTATATCTTTTTTTGGACAATCTTTACTGGTAATATATTCTAAAACACCACGATCACCATGATCTATTTTAATATCAAGTTTGTTACGCACAATTAAATCACATATGTGTAGCAAGTGTCTTATAATAGTCGGGGTAATTCGTTGGCTTTTCTGATCGAAATCTAATTTCATAAAATTTGCGACACTAGGGATAAGTTGATTTTCTTTCTTTTTCTTTACCACTTGATCTTGTAGTTGAACTAAATGTTTTAAAAAACCCTGTATTACTACGCTCTTCCGATCTCCTCTTCCTCAATTTCAAAATTCTCACCCTCGTCGGCAATATTCAAACTCGACGCATCATTATTCTCATCGAACGGGTGAATATTTTCATCAACAACCACATCCTCTGTTGTACCGGTCGTAGGATCCGTGTTATCCCAATTATCATTATCCTCAGCATTCACCCTATCATCATTATCATCACCATCATCATCATCATCAGTATCAGAGTAACCCGTTAAGTTTACGTTGTCACTTAACAACATATCTTCGTTAAATTCTGTGTTTTCACCCATATTTTGAAATTACGCTGTGTACGTGAACGGTCTGAATATTCACCCCTTTACCACTAATAATTTTTGTGTTCGGTGGTTGCGGTCGTCTCACAAAAGATTCGTGTTTTTTAGTGGGGCCCAGTTTTAAACCACTCTTCGCGATCACGTGTCAAGGCATATTGTAATGAAAAATGTGTTTACATCGAAATTTAAATACATTTTATCAATCTTTTTCTCGTGAAAAAATATCAAAACCCAAAATCTAAATCCCACATTTTGAGCCACCCTTTTGATTTTTTTTTTATAAGCTCTTGTTGCAATTTTAAAATTCCCACCCTTTTGTTTCGGTACAAAAGCTTTTCGAAAATAATGTAACGAACCACGACCGCCTTTTTGTTTTTTTTCAATTTTAAAATTTCCACCCTTTTGCTTTGGCTCGAAAGCTTTTGTAAAATTAGCGAACCATGATTCTCCGCCTTTTTGTTTTTTTTACGCGATCTATTTGCACAACATCGTCCCTTGGCCATTCTTGAACAGAATAGATTTGAATATTTATACTTCGTATTTTAAACGTGCCTGTGTACCAAAACCAACACTCAACTGATTTCTAAATTCACCGATACAAATTAGCTGTTGTGCCGCGACGGTGTCGGCTGCAAAATCAATCTTCACCCCCAAATTTCCACTTGTCGAATTGGGTAAAACTTGTGAAAAACCATCACGATTCGGTGATAAATCCGTAACAATCATCCCGTAATCTGATACATACTCATCATATGTGCAAGGCATTTCGCTATGACGTCGATCCAATACTTGACGTAAATTAATGTATGCCTCTTTTGAATGAGTAATTACCGGTGGTACTTCAGCTTCATTGATGCTTACAGCGAAACGTGTAATATTGGGGAAAGGTATTGAAAATGGTGATAATACAAACGACCCGTTGTAACGAGTTTGTGATATAATTTTTGTCACAAGACGCGCAGGTCGTGCACCATTGAAAATATCTTTGTGTTGAATGTGACGACTATTGATAGGGACGGGTATTGCAACATACCGATGTGTAATTTTATAATAGCGACATTCTTCACCTTTTTGAATCATCAAATCATTGATTGCTGCCGATAATTGCGCGTTTGGTTTTAAAATGGGCATGGTTAATTTTAAATCCGCCATTTTCAATTCCACTAATCCGCAATGTGCAGCCGTACCATACAAGACTTTATTTTTCTCCAATCGGGTTAAAACCACTTTGATATCAAACGATGTAGGTACGTAACGTTTAACACGCCCCAACACATCGAGTTTATCAATACATCGAAATACGGTATCTTCATGAATTTGATTATATCTTGCTCGCGCACCCAAATTATTATTACCCGCAGCACCATCATAGACATGTGCGGTTGTATCCATTGAGCCGGGTGTGTCTCGGATCATTAAATTAATATTCTTATCGTTGAGGTACTCCGAGGGTACAGTGGTTAGGAAATCGTGAGTAAACTCAAGTTCGTTCTCCTTACTTGATTGTGGTGTAATTAATTGGTTATTTAAATATACCGCTTTGGTTTTCCAACCGTAACGTAATGGCGCCATATTAACGCATACATTTCGATCGGCGGCAGGTGCTGCACCACCAATCGTTACAGCAACACATAAATTTGCTGATAGTTTTGCATCAACCATATCTATTACACCATAATCTTGTCGATTATGCATAAATGTATAGATTTCGGCATTCTCGGTAGTAGGGTTGGGTAGTAACTCTAAAGTATGTGTTTCGGCAAACGTATCATTATGTGGGAATGTGTCAAATAATGTCATAGGTCCCACAAAACCACTATCATGTTCTTCAATAGGCTCGGCATCCGGAGGTGTCTGTCTTGCACGTTTCATCTTGACGATGTTCAAGCAACTAATGAAACTATTTTAAAAAAGAGTTTCTTTTTAAAAAAAACACACACACACACTATTTTTTTAAAATTTTTTTAAAATGTTAATTTTGTCTATATACATTAATAATCGTCATCGTAATAATATCTCGGACGTCGTCTGCGGCGTCGGGGTGCGGGTCTGTCTTGCATCCATGAAGGCGGGGGTCTATTACCTCCTTGATTTACACTTTGTACAGGTTTTTGTGCGGTTTTTTTACCAAAAATACTACCCGCAACACTTGTGCCAGTATTTAATAACACGGGTAAAGCCATACCCAATGCTATTCCTGCAGCGGGACCAAAACCACCTTTTTGATTTTTTTTCCCCTTTTCGTCTTTTTCCCTTTCTTATTAGCTATTCGTCGTTTACTACCCATAGATTAATTTTAAAATTTCCGGTGATATTTGTGGGTTACCCCGTTGTTGGTGTTGTTTAGGAGCTCTTGGTGTTATTTTACCAACCCTTTGTATTTTCGGGTTTGGGGCGTAAACCGGGTTTAATTGAGGCGGTGCACAAATTTTACCGGCAGCACGTTGTTCAACTGTTGATGCTTTACCGGGTAATGTATACAAACTTGTTCCCTTATACCGTACACCCGCGCCTTTTAATAGCTTTACATAGTCTGCTTGCTCCATCGTGAATGATTCATTTTTTATATCTCATCATATATATTTAAAACAATGGATAATTTTGACCGATTTTGTACATTGGCAGCCAATGCATAACTATCTTGTTCATATCCTGCGGTGCATTCAAAAATAAATTTTACGTTATCGTCTAAATCGGCCACATTTCGTACGGTTAATAAACAATTAGGTAGTGGTGTTTTAACGGTTGAATTCGATACAGGAATTATTATCCTATTATTTGACACCTGTTCAAAACGTTCAAATAATAAATAGCGTTTTAGCGTATAATAATGACGAACTGTTTTCCCACGTGTCACACCGTAATCTATACCATCGTAAAATGTACCACCGTGTACTTTTATTTCGCGACGCGTAAATGTACCACCCGAACTATTAGCCCGAAACATTGTAATGTATTCGATCACTTTCTTGTTCTATAAAGGTATCTTCGTAAAATGACACCTTGTTGTGTGTTGTAAGATTTTTCATAACCCCATATAGTCTAGAGGTCACATAGATACCAGTCTGTAAATATTCGTAGATCGTATACTTCTTAACACCGTCAGCATCTAATCCTCTTGCACCCCTAATTGTATAAAAAAGTCTTTTTAAACAAGCCATGCTGGTTCTTGAATATAAAACATATGCACCATTTGGAAGTTGTGTATCTGTATATCTTTCGGGTAATATCGAGAAAGTACGACGAATATAACCACCAGGGAAACCGATATAAAGCACATACTCGCCAGCCCCTAGACTAACACGATCATAATGATAGGATACATCTTTTAGTACACCGTCAATCAAAACACTACTTGCAAAACGTCTATCCACCATGATCACGAGTTGGTTTGATAACCCCAATCGTATTGTTTTTTATATTTTAAATTTTTTAATTTTGACTATAATTGTACAGCGAATAGGGTATTGAATGTAATGCATACGATATCAAATCATCGCAAAACCATATACCATAATATTTGACCAAATAATACCCAAGATCTGTTTGACGATAATCGATAGTATTTTGATAATGTAAAAATGTAAAATTACACTGTTTAAAAAACTCCTCTAACAGACACTTTAAACCCGCATCATCGTCGCTACGTCGACGCCAGCTACCCGTCGGTAAAGTGATATTAAATTTCTCACAATTTAATTCCTTAGTCACCACACGACGTACATAACGACCCGTACGTGTATAATAATCCACTTCAAAAACCACGCAATCTGTAGTACATTTTAATATTTTTAAAAAACTTAACTTTATAAAATATTGCTCACCGTTGCACAAAAGAGTTCGACGCATTTTGTCTGCTAGAAAAAATGAAATCTTTCCTTAAAAAATAATTTTTTAACATGATTTATTTTATAAAAAAAATACCACGACCATATAAGCACATGATATTTTAAAAAACAACCATTCAGCTAACAAAGCTATTATAAGATGGTGAGCTACCGGCACAGGCGACGACCTTATCAAAGTGGGGTGAATTTTAAGGGTAGTAAATATCAACGTGGAAAGTCAAAAAAACAAGACGGCGGTTTTCTAAGCAGCCTATTTGGTGGGGGGAAAAAATCAAAATCACAACCCATAAATTTAAATGTAAATCAACGACAATCAAATAATATGGAACGCAATCAACGAATGCGATATCGACCCTATCAACCCTATTATCCGCAGCAAGGGTACTATTACCCCCCACCCAGACGTGCTGTTCGAGGTAGGAAGGCAAGACGTTAAAAAAAGCATTTTACCCCCTAAAAGAAAGGTAGACTAAAACAATACCGCTTTTATTATGTAGAAAACGATGGAAAACATAAAAAACAACAAGGTGGTAATTTTTGGATGTTATTCCTGTAAATAATTATTAATATATTTAATAAAATATTAACAAATCAAAATGTTTTCACATGTTTGTGTGTGTCTACATACATAGCATAATTTCGCTTTTTCTAATACATATTTTAGTACAGGTTTTAAATGACATATCCGTGTAGGGTATATTGTTAAGGGTCTTTGTTTATTTACAATCCATGTATGTATAAATGTTAGAGAATCCATTTCGTGAAAGCAAACACCACAACCACCACCAACTTTTGGGCAACTGTAAACACCATACTGATATATGCACACTCTACCACACAAACACTTTATCTTAGCACGTTTGGCAACAATTTCAACAACCGATTCCTCAACATCACACGACCCAGTTCCCGCATACATAAAATAGCTGTAATTCATTTGTAGCAGAACAACGACGTATGTAAGACGGTGTAGAATAACTAATACGCTTTAGTACAGCCTTTGTCTGTATACCGCATTTACAAGGATCGCAATATAGCATGTAAAAAACATACTCTTCAACATCGTTCATAATATTTACATACTGCATAGACGTTTCTTTCGCCGCTTCAACTTGAAAACCGCCAAAATAACCCCCTAATTCACCACGCGTGTAATGTTTATCAGCACATACATAATACGCCACGTCATTGTATGTCATTAAAGACACATATTCATCACAACAACATTTAATTCTCTCACATGTGGTTTTTTCACAACCAATTTTCCACATTTTACACACACCACAATCACACAACATCATGACATTATGATCACTTTTCTTAACCCTTTCGTTATTATATAGATATCTATATAATCTAATATGTCCAAATATAGACATATGTGTTCTCTATAAAATACGCGTTGCAACGATTGCGGGTACATATACCCAGCCACAATGTCAAACTGTTGTAACTATTGTCCCTCGGATAAAAACTGCGCTTGTGGTGAAAATTGTTTAAATTGTCTAAAAGCAAAACAGCTATACGATTGTGCACAAACTATACTACACAGTCAAAGCAACCAGCCGACACACATACAAAATTGTGGTCTAACAGAGGAGCAAGAAACGGTCAATAAAGCTTTAAAAGAAAATCGAAAAGAATTAGAAGAAAATCAAAAAGAATTAGAAGAAAATAGAAGAAAAATCTCACCAATAAAATCTACGAAAACAGTGGTACATAATTTTCTTAAACAAGAAGAGCAGAAACCCGAATACTACTGCTTCTTGCATATGTGCTGTTGATTTGTAAAGTGTTGTGAGCAGTGTGAATACATTAATTATGAGTAAACGAAAAATAGAAGAAGTTGAAAGTGGTAGTAGTAGTAGTAGCGAAAGTAGTTGTAGTAGCGATGAAGACACCGATACAGATAATCGTATGTATTTTGACACAAGGGACAATTATGTACATCCCGATGTTGTACAGGCAAACGTTAAAAAAATGTTACAGTGTAATGAAATGGTAGAAGCGATGAAAAATATTATAAAAAATTAGAAAACATAATACAAAAAATATTAATTTTTATTCTTCTCTCTCTCTAGTAATTCTAAGCGATATTGTTTTAAAATCTCTTGATCGTCCTTAGCAGACTCATTCATAACAAACATAAAACATATAAAATCGGTTAAGTGTTTATCATTGTCAGGACCCATTCTTTCACCAGTGAACATCCACCGTGATAAATCCTCTTCTTTTTTTATATCTTGCATTGAAGGCCAACACAACCAATGACCTTCAACTTTTACTTTATCCATGTACATGTGAAATGATAACGATTCACGCATAATTTTAAATTTTTCCTCCTGCTGAATACAATACGTCTCAAATGCCTTGTCAAATCTGGGATGATAACGGCATGGGGGGGATGGGGGTAGATGATCGTCACATGGTGGGGATGGGGGTAGGGGATCATCATCATCCCCGTATACGGCTGTCATAGAATTTGCATCAGCATCTTCAAAAACATCCCACGAACGTATCAGGTTTGCCAATCTTATGGGTTCCGTACCCTTATAAATTTCCCTAGTACACGATTGATCATCAGTAGCTGCCATGGCGGGAACTTTAATAGATGTTTGCAACAACAAGCAAACTAGAATAATACCCTCACCAAATACATCAATTATTGTTGTATATAACAACTCGAGACAAGAATTTAATATTTTTAAAAATAAAACCGAAAATAGTTTAAAAATACCACAAACTCTAAAGATGGGTCAGAGTATTAAAATTGAAAAAGATACGTGTACAATTTACGACGAAAAATGGTTTAGAGAACAAAAATCATGTCCGCACAAATTGATGTATGAAATTACAGGTAACAAACTACTCTCGCAAATAAATATTATCTATATATTCGTCAACATCTTGGTAACGTTGTACACGATATGTACGTCTTCGCTGTAATTTGGACATGGCTATATTATATAGCAAATCTTGTTTAGTGTGCAACAATTCAAATTCTCGATTTATACAATGTTCTTCATCACACCATGCTTCAATCAAAACATTGTATATATTTTCAACATTGTACCAACAATCTGACAAAACCTATGAAAATGAACCCGTCCACACGTCTTTACTTAAACCATTACGCGTAACTGTCACATACCATCTCCATAGATAACGCGCCACGATATTTTCTAACAAATCGTTTGCCTCACCCGTATGCCAACCCTCTGGTTTTTCGGGCATTTCAACTTTTGAATCGAAAACAATATATGCGGCCACATGATCGGGTAATGCCCTATTCCCCATCTTTTCGTTTTTTACTAACACGTTGTTGTTGTGTACAATATGTTTTATACCAGCGCATAATGTCGTAACCCGATACAATCATTTTATCTATAAAGGGTGCTTCATACAACGAAGCCGACATAGCTTTATTTCGGGTTAAGCGGTTCCAAAATTGTAAAATATAATATTTGTTTGTCACCGTACACGTTTCCATACACGACATATTAACACCGCAGGGTAGAACATCACGCAACACTTTTTCAAAATCATCAACATTTATTTTTACAACATACATTTTTTTACAACCATTATAGAATAGAATCTCAACACACATGTTGACTCTAAGATGACTATAAGTATAACTAAAAAAATTATAAACGTTATTCATTGATAAATGCTACAAAAAAAAGGGTCAAACCCGT